GAATGCTCAAACTACTGCACAGTTGCACTCGTCTCACACGCTAGCAAAGTAATGCTCAAAATTCCCCAAGCCAGGCCTCAACAGTATATGAACCATGAAATTCCAGATGTTCAAGCTGGATTTAGAAAAGGCAGAGGAACCAGAGATCAAATTGCCAACATCCACTGGATCATTGAAAAAGCAAGAGAGTTCCAGAAAAACATCTACTTCTGCTTTATTGACTACACAAAAGCTTTTGGCTGTGTGGATCACAACAAACTGTGGAAAATTCTTCAAGAGATGGGAATACCAGACCACCTCATCTGCCTCTTGAGAAATCTTTATGCAGCTCAAGAAGCAACAGTTAGAACTGAATGTGGAACAACAGACTGTTTCAAAATTGGGAAAGGAGTACGTCAAGGCTGTATATTGTCACCCTACTTATTTAACTTATATATAGAGTACATCATGTGAAATGCTGGACTAAATGAAGCACAAGCTGGAATCAAGACCGCTGGGAGGAATATCAATAATCTCAGATATGCAGATGACACCACCCTTACTGCAGAAAGTGAATAGGAACTAAAGAGCCTCTCGATGAGAGTCAAAGAGGAGAGTGAAAAAGTTGGCTTAAAGCTCAACATTCAGAAAACTAAGATCATGGCATCTGGTCCCATCACTTCATGGCAAATAGATGGGGAAACAATGAAAACAGTGATAGACTTTATATTTTGGGGGGCTCCAAAATCACTGCAGATAGTGACTGCAGCCGTGGAATTAAAAGACACTTACACCTTGGAAGAAAAGCTATGACCAACCTAGACAGCATATTAAAAAGCAGGGCTATTACTTTGCCAACAAAGATCCGTCTAGTCAGAGCTATGGTTTTTCCAGTAGTCATATTTGGATGTGAGAATTGGACCATAAAGAAAGCTGAGCACTTAACAATTGATGCTTTTGAACTGTGATGTTGGAGAAGACTCTTGAGAGTCCCTTGGACTGAAAGGAGATTCAACCAGTCCATCCTGAAGGAAATCAGTCCTGAATACTCATTGGAAGGACTAATGCTGAAGCTGAAATGCCAGTACTTTGGCCACCTAATGGGAAGAACTGACTCATTGGAAAAGACGCTGATGCTGGGAAAGATTGAAGGCAGGAGGAGAAGGGGAAAACAGAGGATGAGATGGTTGGATGGCATCACCAACTCGATGGACATGAGTTTGAGCAAGCTCTGGGGTTTGGTGATGGACAGGAAGCCTGGCATGCTGCAGTCCATGGGGTTGCAAAGAGTCCAACATGACTGAGCAACTGAACTGAACTGAATGTAATTTATTGTCCATACCATTTTTTGACTTTATGCTTGAGAGGAAGAAATTGACATTGTGCATTCTGTACTGAATATTGCTGAATTTTTCTCAGTAGGCAAGTGATTTTTTTTTGAAGTTTTATTGTCTGTATAGCATCTAATTTTTGTTTATAGCAATGAAAGACTAAGACATTTAAAAATCTTTACTGATTAAGAAAATACTGCCTTTTGGGTTGTTTGTTGCTAGTAGCTAGACTTGCTAACAGGCTTTATTTTAATTTTTATATTGTTCACTCAGTCAAGAAAGAATGATAATCTACTATAGTTCTGCTTTCAACCAAGAGGGAAAACTCCTATGAAAGTATTTTACTTATGACTTCTTTATCAGAGGTAAAAATAGTGCAGATAAATATTTATTTATAATTTTTATCTGATGGTATATATATTTGTTGCTATGTGTAAAATATTTCAGCCTATGTAACAGAAGAAGGAAGTAGTCCAAAAACCTGCTTATTTCTAGAAATACTTATGGGGGCCTACCCAAAATAGTGCTTCTGCATCTTGCATAAATTATGGACCCTTTTTTTTTCCTCCAATTTTGCAAAAGCCTACTTCAGAAACAAGTCTTAGAGGGTAGAGTTTTATTCTGTGAATAACATTCTATCATTGCTACAGATAACTTTTATATTTAGGATAGTTGTGGATTAGTTCCAATTATCTAAATGAAGATTCGAGAAGGAAATGGCAACCCAATCCAGTACTCTTGCCTGGAAAATCCCATGGACTGAGGAGCCTAGTAGGCTACAGTCCATGGGGTCGCAAAGAGTCCGACTGAGCGACTTCACTTCACTTCACCTAAATGAAGAGGCATAAGAGACATGGGTTTGAGCCCTAGGTGGGAAATATCCTCTGGAGGAGAGCATGGCAACCCACTCCAGTATTCTTGCCTGGAGAATCCCATGGACAGACTCTATAGTCTTTGAGGTCGCAAAGAGTCAGACATGACTGAACCCACTCAGCACCCACACACACGCACCTAAATGAGAACAAAACAAAATTTGATCTAAACTTTGCCTTTCTTTTGCCAAAGCATCATTAAGCTTCAACCCGTCGAGCATTGTAGGAGTATTAGAAACAGGCTCTTCCTGTGGTCAGTAGCCGTGATTGATCTTTATCGAGGTACATTCAGAGAATAGTCCCATGACTTTTATATTTATGTTGGCGATGCTATTAAAGACATAGGTTACTCTGTGTCTTCCTTCTACTGTTACTTTCCCTGAGGCTACCTCTGTTCCATGACCACTTTCCTACAAGCCCTCTCAATTCCACGTGTGTCCTCTCTGCTCTAAAATAGGTGATGATCTACTGGACAGGCAGAAGCCACCCACTTTCCTCACATGCAGGAGGCTTTCAAGTCAAACTCCACCCTGATTCATAGCCTTGCTGTCAGCGTGCAGATGTTTACTCTTCAACAACCTCCATCCTCCACATTTTGAGATGCTCTTTATTTCAGGGTTTGAGGTACACAGTATTTGCCTTGCCCAAGACTCAGAATGTACACCTAAAATTTCTACATTTCTCTGTGAATTTCATGTCAAAAAATAATCTGCAAAAATGCTGAGTAGAGTTAATGATATATTTGCTTTATTTTTTAGAGGAGCACACACAAATACCATTTACTTTTCAATGTGTCAAAAACGGACAGGTGGATAGATGATTTTATAAGTTTAATAAAATTTTGATGGTAGAATCTAGTGGTGGGGGAGGTTATGTTTGAAACTTTTCAAATTAAAAAATAATCAAAATAAGCAGAGGCCATCTTTATACCTTAATTGGAAGTCACTCAAATGTACAGGAAGAGTAGAATGGGTAGGTAATCTGTGCCACATTAGCAAAGTGGAAAACTACTCAGGGAAGGAGTTATTCACTACAGCCTCATACCAGGGTGAATCTCACAAGCAGAATGTTAAGTGAAAGAAGCCAGGTATTTAAAAAAATACTCTAGGATTTAATATATGTAGAATAAAACTGAGGGCTTCTCAGGTGGTGCAATTGGTTAAGAATCTGCCTGCTCAACACGGGAGACAAAAGAGATGAGGGTTCTATCCTTGGGTTGGGAAGATTCCCTGGAGTAAGAAATGGCAACCCATTTCTAGTATTCTTGCCTGGAAAATCCCATGGACAGATGGGCCTAGCGGGCTACAGCCCATGGAGTTGCAAAGAGTCGGACATGACTGAGCACACATGCACAACAGTCATCACAAAATAAAACCAGGCAAAACTGACCTATGCTGGTAGAAGTCAAAATTGTGTTTATCCTGGGAATGGACCTTGCCAGTGACCTGGGGTGGGAGGGAATCAGAGGGATGGTGTATCCTGTCCCTTGTTCTGGGTGCAGGTTCACATGTATGTTCAATTAGTAAGAATCTGTTGATCTGTGTACTAATGGTTCATGCACTTTCCTATTGTATTTTAATTAAAATTTCCAAAATTGAAATAATAAGACTTCCCACCTCACAGTATTATTTTGTAGTTTAAACTAAAGCCTTAGAATGTAAACTCCATGAGGACAGTCATAAGAATCTGTTTTTTTTACTGTTACTGCTGACTTTAAAAAATGCACAATGTGGGGGTTGCAAGTTAAGTTTTATTTGGGCAAAATGAGGAATACAGCCCAGGAGACAGCATTTCAGACAGTTCCGAGAAGCTGCTTCGAACAAGTAACGAGGAAGGTGAGTATATATGTGATTTTTGGTGAAGGGAGAGTACATGTAATCAAGCCTATATTTTTTGCAGAGGATTTCTGCTAGTCACGAGGAGTAGATGTCACCATGAAGGATCTCAGTGTACTTCTAGATATGAGGAGATGTAAGAATTGGGCTCATAAAATCAGCTCTTGAAAATATCTAACTATCTGAAGACGTGTTCTGCCAGTTTGCCCAGAGCACAGAGTGCCTCATTTCTGCTCTCCACCTTGAGTTCCCTCCCAGTGGGGTTGCAAGTCAGCCACTGTAGCCGCACAGGATTTAATCCTTGTGGAGGCAGAGGGCAAATGCCCATGGCAAGTGCCAGTTTGTAGCTGATACTACAAACGCAAGACTAAAGCATCTCCTGGTATACACCAGACTCTCAAAGCATTTCTCGTAAATGACAATTCAGTACACTGCTTGTCTCATCACCTGCCACAGGATACAAACTCTCTCAACATGAGACTTTACAAGTAATAATAATATTCTATCACCGCTCTAAACAAGGCCACTTTTCCCTTTAGCAGCTCAGTCTAGACAACATTATTTTCATATCAGGGATCCAGTAACTTACAGACCTAAGTTCAATCCGTCAATTGATCAATGGTGGTGAAGAAATCAGTGGCGACCAGTGAACTTTAGTCCATGGACTTACAATGGGAAATTAAAGTTGAAAACTTAGCCTGCTTTCTATGCAGCCTGGGTTAATTATTTTTCCTTTCTTACTGTTGCCCTTATTGGCGATCATGTTCTAATTGGTCTGTGGCATGAAAACTACTGTCCATTAACATGGTTTGGTATTTTTAGTATTATCATAATCTATTTTAAATCAATTATAAAGGTTGTTACAAAGGGACTTAGATGTTGTAAATAATTAACTTTTTTTCCATGAGAAGTATTGTGTACTTAATGAGGAGTCCCTAAGTATTTTTGAATGGTTAAAACCTTTATAAAACACACCACAGAAGATGAGGTCAAAAGGCTTGGCTTTGATTATCATATTAATCATCTCAGGAGAACTCCATGCAGAAGGTAAAACTAATTTTTAATATTCTTTATTCTCTAAAAATTATAAAGGGAAATTCTAACATTATTCCTTTTGAAATTTTGAATATAGTCTTTCATTTTTATGTACCAGTTTTATAAAAAAGATTCTTATAATTTGTTATAATATTTAGACAAACTTTTTGCTTTGGGAAAAACTACTAAACTATTCCTAAAGTAACATAACTTAGAAATCCAAAACAAGACTGAAAAAAAGAAAAAACCTTTAGCATCTCTAGTTTTGAGGGCATAAGAGATCAGGATATAAATATCTTAAAGGATATTTTAGGCTAAATGTATCATTATTTGAAGTTAAGTTAACCTTAATTCTAGTTTTAGACTAGAATCCATTCCTAACACTGCTAAGCTTGTATAATTTTACTTCTCTGTCCTTACAGTGAGAACTTAATGTGGGAAATTTGAAAAAGAACAAACCACAAATCATAAGCAAGATTTTTGATTCTTGATGCCTTGATTTTTATCCTAATTTATTCTTTGGTTGAAAGATACTGGAGGGGGTTGCCATTTCCTCCTTCAGGGGATCTTCCCGACACAGGGATTGAACCCACATTGCTTGCATCTCCTGCACTGGCAAGTGGATTTTTTTTTTTTTATCACTGCACCACCTGGGAAGACCTTGATTGAATACATTAGGTAGTACAAATAATTAGTAGGACCATACAGTTGAATATGTAAACAAGGACATGTCTGAGAATGAAAGCGGGGTTTAGTAATACTCAGGGCAGCAGGGCTTAATCAGGACTGTCCAGAGAAGGGTGCCTGTGGACTCCCTGTTAGAAATCCTCCTGCCCCGTCTGACTCATGTCGTGAGTGAGTGTGAGTGAGGCGGGCAGTGCACAAGGGTGGCCCCTTAGGAGTAGTTCACGGTGTTCTCGGGCTGCAGGGATGGGAAACCAGGCAGGTCACTGAGTGTCAGCAAGAGGAATATACAGAGTAGGTAGCCACAACCATAATGCTCTTTTAAAACACCGGAGGGAATTTGCCGACTAAAATAGCCTACAGATTATCTATAACTGCTTTTACTTGAATAGCTTACTACAAATTTTCTGCCAAAAGAGATTTTGCAATTAAAATTATGAAATAGAATTCATCTGATTTGATGCATTTAATTCTACAATAGGATAATTTTTATATGAATAGTTTCCTTTTATTTTTCTGTCTAAATAGGGGGGAAACAGCTGATATAATTGTCTATTAGTTATACCGTGAGACACTGCAATATTCTAGCTAATTTTCTAATTATTGTGTGGTTATAATCTTCTTTCACACAAAGAAATGTCAGCTGTGTTCTATTTCTATTAGAACATGCTGCTTGACAAAGTTAGGGGAAGCTTCTCTGAGGAAGTGGCCTACCCACACTAATTCTGACGATTGGGAGTTGGGGTTGCTAGCAGATTAATTCTGATTGAAAAGTATTGTCACAAAAGTACCTTAAAACGTTAAGTAATAGAAAGTACTGGCTAAAGTGTCTGCAAACACTTTCAATTTTAAAATGTATTGTCACTTGATCACAAATTGCATGGTTTTAAATGTATTTTTCAGTATGCAGCTTATTATTTACTCATTTCAGAGAAGCCCTGTGGTTTTCCTAGTGTGGAGAATGGAAGGATTGCCCAATATTACTATACGTTTGAAAGTTATTACTTTCCAATGAGCATAAACCAAAATCTGTCATTTTCCTGCTTGGTCGGTTACACGACGGCAACTGGAAAGCGCGAGGCGCGGACCACGTGTACGGCGGCAGGCTGGTCTCCGGAGCCACAGTGCTTCAGTAAGTCGGCGGTGGGGCCGCTCTCATGTGATAACTCACAAACAGACTAGCGGGTAAAACTAGGGGCCCCAGGGGCAGGTGTCTGAACCTTTTGGTAGGTAGGGACAAAACTATCGGCCCTCGGTCTTTTTCACAAAATGAAAGCATATTCTGAAATTCTGTAAGTCGTGTTTTTCATTAAAATGCCATCTTCCTTATCTTTCTAAAAGCAGTTTTATCTGTGTTTTTATTTTTGGCTATGCTGGGTCTTCGTTGCTGCGTGGGCTTTCTCTAGCTGCCATGAGCAAGGGCTCCACTCTAGTTGCGGCGCGCGGGGTTCTCATCGAGGTGGCCTCTCTTGTTTCAGAGCCCAGGCTCTGGGCTCACGGGCTTCCCTAGTCCTGGCACGTGGGCTCTGCTGTTGAGGCTCCTGGGCTCCAGGTCACAAGCTCAGGTGGTGGCTCATGGGCTCAGCTGCTCCTCGGTGTGTGGGGTCTTCCCGAATCAGGGATCAAAGCCATCTTTCTTGCACTAGCCGGTGATTTCTTTACAGCTAGGCCACCAGGGAAGCCTCCTTATCTGTTCTTAATAATACTCTGAGAAGAGAATAAGGGCAATTATTGAAATTGTCATCACATGGCAAGGAACAGACACACCATCTAGTTACTTTGAGGAATGAGGGACTTACACAGACAATTCTGTGGGAGCCAGAAAAATATCCGATGCTTAGGAAGTATAAGGTTATTACTCTAGTATTTTATCCTTTGAAAGACTCCTCCCTCTGTTGTATGACTTCTCCTTGCATAATATCCATTGAACAATTTGTTTTTCTGAATTTTGAGTTCAAATTTGTGGAAAGGAAATCTGATTGGCAGAACCCAATATTTCATGTCAGGCTACACTAGAAACACTAGATACTGTCAGCTGGTTTCCAGGGGGCAGGTGACCTCTCTCTGATGACACAGTTCCCAAGTTCTGTTTTGCAGAGTAAGGGGCTTTGGTTGTGTCAGTTTCATTTAGAAGAAGTATGATGTTTATTTACAGTGGTTGATTTGTCCAGTAAACATATCCATGTGGGATAATTATCCATTCCATGACTTGTGGACAGACCACCAATTTAAGCGTTACACTTTTAGTGTTAACACGGATCATAGATTAACTGCAATAAATGAACCTCATTCATCACTAGAGCATAAAAGTAAATTAAACATCTGAGATGAGATGTTGTGAGAGCAGTGAAGTAGGAGCTGGACAAGGATGAAGAGGGTCAACACTGCGGGGTCAGGGTTGGGACATACCCTCTGTGGCCAGACTGCTCTGGTGGATCTGGCTCTACCACTGGGAAGTGGCTTAAACATTCTGGGCTGGACTTTCTCATCTATAAAATGGAAATCACGCAACTTCAGCGAGATAATCCCTATAGAGTGGTTCCACACAGCAAGTATGACATATTTAAACTAATACTAACCTTGGACATATCTCTTTCACCTTTCTGAATTGGTTTATTATGAGGGTCCATTAATCATGCTCAAAAACTGATTGAACTCCATTCGACGCTAACATAAATGTCCTATTCAACACATCACTGTCCCAAGTATTTACTAAAAATTAGCTCTGTGAACTCGAAGTAGCATGTCTGTGACTCAGTCACAGTCTACATAGACTGACTAAGGAATCTTACTGTGCTCGTAGGCAATGAGAGGCTGAAAAAATAAATGAACACAATTTTCACAATAAATTGTCTGCAGGATTATATAAGGATTTATAGAGTAGCTACATGTGCTTTAGTGACATGATATTAAATATTATCAAATGCAGTGGACTCAAAGTTTTAAGATGTAAACCTAAAAGAAAATCCTTCTATTTCCCGTTAATGATGCTTAGAAGATCTCTGCATATATTTTCTAAAGCAGATGAGGTAGGGGTTGGGCTGACTTGAAAATTGAAGTCAGTGCATACCAAGAATTTCAGTGTCAAACTGAATCAGCTTTTAAAGAGATACTTCCGAAATTAAAATAAATCAAGGAATTGTGAATTTCTTATTTAAAATTCACAAAAAAGTGAATATTTTTTCTCCTTAAAACTCCAAGAATAACATTAAACTTTTGCATTGTTAGTTTTACAACTTACTAAAAAAATCAAGCTTAATTTAATCAATTTAGAAAAGAAATATTTTTCTCCCACAGAAAAGTGCCCTAAGCCTGACCTGAAGAATGGCTACATCTTTGATACAAAATTATCCTACAAAATACAAGAGAACATGCGCTATCATTGTGCATCAGGATACAAAACCATCGCAGGGCAGGATGAAGAAGTGGTTCAATGCCTTGCTGATGGGTGGTCTTCCCAGCCAACCTGTAGGAAGGAACATGGTATGTGTTTAAGAATCATCTCCTAAACCTGAAGACAAGAGCTTGGGAGTTTAGTAAGTTTAGTGCTTTCTTATATTGGCAGGTATTTTTATTTAAATATAGTTTATTTTTTAGTATATCTACCAATGCAGGAAGTTATTATGTTGTTTTCTTCAAATGTTACGTGTTTCCTTCATCCAAGGGATCCCATCTTCCACAACACACCTACTCCAGGAATTCCTACTTTCTGCTAGTAAAAAAAAAAAGAATTGACATAAGATAAAAGAAAAGAACCTTAATGAACTTGTTTCTGCAACATATATAAATGATTTCCTTCATTTGACACGGACTTGAAATAACGCACATTACTTTATTTTGCCAGCCAATATCAAATAAGCCAATCATTTGAGTGTGTGTGTGTGTGTGTGTGTGTGTGTGTGTGTGTGTGTATCATGAGAAAGGCTGGACTGGATGAAGGACAAACTGGAATCAAGATTGCTGGGAGAAATATAAATAATCTCAGATATGCAGATGATACCACTTATGGCAGAAATCGAAGAACTGAAGAGCCTCTTGAAAGTGAAAGAGGAGAGTGACAATGTTGGCTTAAAGCTCAACATTTAGAAAACTAAGATCATGGCATCTGGTCCCATCACTTCATGGCAAATAGATGGGGAAACAATGGAAATGGTGAGAGACTTTTTTTTTTTTTTGGCTCCAAAATCACTGCAGATGGTGACTGCAAGCCATGAAATTAAAAGACACTTGCTCTTTGGAAGAAAAGTTATGACCAACCTAGACAGCATATTAAAAAGTAGAGACATTACTTTACCAACAAAGGTCCATCTAGTCAAGGCTATGGTTTTTCCAGTGGTCATGTAGGGATGTGAGAGTTGGACTGTGAAGAAGGCTGAGCACCGAAGAATTGATGCTTTTGAACTGTGATGTTGGAGAAGACTCTTGAGAGTCCCTTGGACTGCAAGGAGATCCAACCAGTCCATCCTAAAGGTTATCAGTCCTGAATATTCATTGGAAGGACTAATGCTGAAGCTGAAATGCCAGGACTTTGGCCACTTAATGTGAAGAACTGACTCATTTGAAATGACCCTGATGCTGGGAAAGATTGAAGGCAGGAAGAAAAGGGGATGACAGAGGATGAGATGGTTGGATGGCATCACCAACTCACTGGACATGAGTGTGAGTAAGCTCTGAGAGTTGGTGAGCTGCAGTCCATGGGGTTGCAAAGAGTCAGAAATGACTGAGTGATTGAACTGATGTGTATGAGTATATATATGTTTAATATATATTATATAACATATATAATTATTATTATGATATATATTATGTGTAAGATTTATACTTAATACGTATTATAAAATATATAATAATACACTGTATATTATATAAAATATAATATAATATAAAATACAATACATAATATAAATATATAATACATTATATAATATATATTATATATAATATATTATAATGATGTATTATATAATATATAATATAAATATAATATATATATTTAATATATACTAGATATATACTTAATATATATATTTATATTTAAATTATACAAACCCACAGATGGGACATCATCAAAAAATTGTTAATGCACAAAGCCTTCTGTTGAATTATATTATAAATATATACTCTGTTGAGTATATATTATAAATATATAATATATTATGTACAATAAATATTATATAATTATATGTAGATATAATATATTATAGTATATAGTTTTATAATATGTTATATGTTATATAATATATAATTTATATACTATATATAATATGTATATATATTATGTAATATATACTATAATTTATACATAATATAAAAATTGCATAATAAATATATCATATATAAATATAATATATTGTATTTTTATAATATAATATAATCATATATTATTATAGTATATGTAAATATGTAATGTATATTTAATATATATAATTTATATTTATATTTAAATTATACAAACCCACTGATGGGACATCATCAAAAAATTTGTTAATGCACAAGCCTTCTGTTGAGTTGTGGCCTTTGGCCAAATACACCAGAGTAGAATTTGAAGGACAGAAGACAGGTAGGGTTAGGATGCAGAGTGCATAAAAAAGGGACTCAATGGACAAAGGCAAACTTTGATTATTTTTCAGTTTTGCTGAGAGCTGATTCTGTCATATGTTTGTTAGTATTCAAAGTAAGTAAAAGTTGATAATACTTTTTGAGATTTCCTTTTAATATTCTAGGTTCAGAGATGAAGTCCATAAAACAAATGACTTTAATGTTTTGTTTTAGAAGCATGTTTGGCCCCTGAATTGCATCATGGAAATTATTTCACAGCACAGAAAACATTCAAAGTGAAGGAAAAAGTTCGATACGAGTGTGCCTCTGGGTACCACACAGCTTCTGGGAAGAGGACGGAGGAGGTGGAGTGTCGCCCGTATGGATGGGCTCTCACCCCACAATGTACCAGTAGGTTCTCCCTTGGAAGACAACTGCTTTCACTCTGAAAATGTCCCTCCCAGAAATGGGTGTGTCTTGTTAGGCTAATTATGCTCCTTTTTCCTTAATTTTGCTTTTTTGCTTCTGATGTTAAAGATGTTGACAGAATGGTTTTCCTTTATTCAATTTCTCAAAGAAGAAAGAATCCTCTCAGCTCAGATACTTAAAATAAGTTTATTGACATTTAATAAATGTATAAATTGACAAACTTTGCTGTGGATAATAGCAAAGTTGCTGATTTCTAATTCAGATATGGCATGTAAGTAGTAAGTGGATTTTGTTCTAGCAGGAAAAATAACACGTCTTTGTTTTTTGTTTGTTTTTTCATTTTTAGAATTAAAATGCTCTTCTTTGAGAGTAATAGAAAATGGTTATTTTCATCCTGTAAAGCAAACCTATGAAGAAGGAGATGTAGTTCAGTTTTTCTGTCATAAAAATTATTATCTAAGTGGCTCTGACTTAATTCAGTGCTATAACTTTGGTTGGTACCCAGAATCTCCTGTCTGTGAAGGTAACTTAAAATTTCATTCACAAATAAAATATGTCTGAATCAGCTTTAATTTCTATAAAAAAATGTCTCTGATGATATGTAAGCCTTCTTCCAATTCCTATTTTTAAAAATAAATATTGTCTTTTAAATTACTGCTATTTTCAGCAATCTTTAATACATTTAATCTGAGTATATAATTAATATGCTTAATTTTTATGTTAGTCTGTAGAGTGGATATAGCTTTTAAATATATTGTTTAAAATCTGTAATAAATTATAAATCTTTTATTGTAATGAATCGTTCTTATTGGGAATTAACTCGATCAATTGTGCCAGGGTGGAAGCTGTGTAAAGGTACTTTCTTATTCCTGGGCCACATATTCCCTGAAGTAAAAACACAGGCTTCAAAATAGTGGGACAAAGTGCAGAAAAAGCAGCAAGAAGTTACCCAGAGTGCAGAGGAAAACTGAAGGCTTCCAGGAGGAGCTGGCCTCACGTGGGACAGCGGTGGTTCCATTTGTGTCTCCAGCTGTGTTCAGGCAGGTGGGATGATTACCTGTTAGGAGACAGCAATTCGATAGTCATGTGATCACACTGCAGTGTTCCATGGAGAATGTTCTGGTCTAGCAGAAGAAACAGATACAAAAGAGTAATTGATACCATGTGAAAAATGGTGTCATAAAGTCAGGTGTAAGGTGTTTGAACAAGCACTGAAGCTTCTGACTGTGAGACCACATTTACAGAGGCGATGGATGATGTCTGATCTGGGCCTTAAAAGATAGGTAGGAGTTGGAGGATTGGGAGGGATGGGGAGATATAAAGGTCTTGATAGCCTCTGTTTTCTCTGTAATGTAGAAAGTGCAGTCATTACTCACAGGCAGGAGAAAGGCAGGAAAGGAAAGCTTGGAAAGAGAGTGGTGACGATTGGAAGCAGTTGCTGGGAAGAATGAAAACCGAGTGACCAGGGGCTGTGTCGAGGGATGGCTCCAAATGGCCAGCGTTCTCTAAATGCACTCAACAATTTTTTATTTTTTTAAATTAAAAGCATTCTTTCTAAAATTTTCCAGTGGTGCCTAAAACCCTTGGTCTAACAGTTAGAAAGATTGTTGGCAAATTTCCTGTAGCATATTATTTCAGAACTAAATGGCAGGGACTTCCCCGGTGGTCCAATGGTTAAGAATCTGCTTTCCAATGCAGGGGATGTGGGTTCAATCCCTGATCTCAGGACTAAGATCCCACATGCTCTGGGGCAACTATGCCCACAGGGCAGTTAGACAGAAGCCCAGGTGCCCCAGGGAAGACTAAGAGCCGCAGCAATGAAAAGATACTGCATGCTGCAGCTAAGACCCAATGCAGCCAAAATAAATAAATATTAAAAAAAAAACAAACTAGAGGGCAAACTTGCCTACTTATCACCTATTCCACACTCCTTTCCCCGCACCGAAAATTAGTCAGATGCCAACGTCCATGCTATTTTTTTCTAGTAAATAGTCCTTAGATGTAAGATGGGCAGTATCGTAATCTGAATAATGCCTCCCTGCCCTCCCATCCCTGGGAGGATAAGATACTCATATACGTCTCCCTGGAACCAGTGACTGTTCCCTTATGGAACAATGGGGACTTTGCAGATGTCATGGAGTTAAGGATCTTGAGATGGGGATAATAATCTGGGATTATCCATGTGGACTTTAAATGTAATCACAACCATTAAAAGAGGAAGAGCGAGATTTGACTACAGAGGATCAAGTATGAAAGGTGACAGGGGAAGCAAAGGTTGGAGTGGAAAAGGAAGGAGTCACGAGCTGAGGCGAGCTGGCAGCCCCCGGGAGCTGCAGAGGCAGACAAGCCACTTCTTCCCTAAAGCCTCTGGAGAAAACGCAGCTCTCCCAACACCCAGATCTCAGCCCAGTGAAGCCGATTCTGGACTTGGGTTTCCAGAACTGTAACAGAATAAACGTGTGGTATGTGAAGCCACTCCATTGTGGTGATTTGTCCCAGCAGTCGTGGGAAATGAATATAGTCAGTATTTTAGAATAGTTAAGAGGAGGAGATTTTAATTCATATAGACACAGGTTCAGGAATGCAAAGATCCACAACTTATTAATAATTTACTTACTTCTTAAGTTTTAGATCCTCTGTCTATAACATGGGAGATGAAATAGTCCCCACTTAACAAAGTTATTTTAAGATTAAAGGAGATAATGAATGTAAAATTCTCTTTTTTGTGTTCTATTGCATGAACTTAACAGCTTAAACCCTGGAGACAGAAATGGCAACCCACTCCAGTATTCTTGCCTGGGAAATCCCATGGACAGAGGAGCCTGGTGGGCTACTTTCCATGGAGCCATGTCCCTCAGACATGATTGAGTGACTGAGCAACAGCTTAAAACCACACACAAGTGTGGGTCAGCTATAGCTCTGTGTCTGTGTCTGATGGAGCAATAGGCAAGCCGCAGTGTCATCTGAGGTTGGACAGGGGAAGAACCTTGCATTCAAGCTTTCTGTGATCTGTGGCAGGTTTCAGAGCTTGGCGGCTACTGGGCCGAGGGTCTCAGTGCCTGCTGGCTGCCCCCTGGAGGCAGCCCTGTGCCCCTTGCCCCGTGGTCCTCCTCCCTCTTTGGAAGCTCACAGACAAGGCAGTTTCTCCTCCAGATCAGTAGCGGGACAGTCTCTCGGCAAGAAGGGCCTTGCCACACTGTGTTGCATGAACATGTGTGTGTGATCACACCTCCATCCTTGTGGCTGTGTTAAACACAGTCACATCATCTCGTCATCTCCGCTGTGTTCATCAGTTAGAAGCAAGTCCCAGTTCCTGCTCCTGGGGAGGGCGTGACTCAGGGAAGTGACTGTCAGGATGTGGGGATCCCAGGGGTGACCCCAGTCTGCCTGCCAGACTTCTTAGGGCCCTTGGCACAGCTAATGTGCTTGTGAGATCTTAACTATTATTTCTGGTGACTATACGACTAAACATCCTGATGTTTTCCCATAAGGAAGAAGAAATCGGTGTCCTCCTCCCCCTCTGCCTCTGAACTCCAAACTTCAAACGTACTCAGCCTCCTACCGTCACGGAGAAACAGTTCGTATAGAATGTGGACTTAACTTCGCCATGCAGGGAGCAGAAGAGATACGCTGTGAAAACGGGAAATGGACGGAGCCTCCCAAATGTGCTGGTTAGCAGCACCTCAAATAAGCTTTCCCTGATGTGAAACCTGCGTGTGCAGCTAAATGGTCCCTTCTGTCTCAATTGTCTCTTTTCAGAGGACAAGCAGAGGGCGACCTGTGAGGCCCCACCCTCGGTGGGGAACGGCTCAGCAAACCCATCCTCCGAGGTTTATCACAGCGGGGATAAGGTGACATACGTGTGTGAGAGGGGGTACCACCTCCGTGGACCAGGAGAAATAACGTGCAACCGTGGGAAATGGACCCTTCCCCCTGAGTGTGTTGGTATGTGTGCTGCGTGTCATATCCAGAGCTAAGCCTAGTGTGTAGAATTTTTCATTCTCTTTGTTTAATCCACACACTTATAGCAATAGTCCGTTGCTTAGAAAAGTTTTGCATGCACAGATAGAGCACCTACTCTGCCATTTTTCTGGAGCACATGAAGCTCTCTGTAGATTTGTATTTTTAATCCAATATAAAGAATAGGAAAACAGTTTTCGAATGTCCTGATTCTGATATTTTTGCATCTGTGCATTCTGACTCCCCCACCCTCTGAGCCATATACCTGGCCTCTCATTTAACTTGAGGACATGACCAGGTTACAACTCTGGGATAGTACCCTTCCTGTCATCCTCATTTCTTGTCCAGATCCTGGAGAGACCTCCACATGTTTACCAAGGATAACTATTGCATAAGAGAAAAGCTACTAAGGATGCTGGAGAAATTAGCAGAGTAAAAGCAAGACTCTTACAGACAGAAAAATGAAACTTTTCATCCATGGGTTGATTGAGATCTGAGATGAAGATGAGGAGAAGGAAAAAATAAAACAGGATAATGACAAATGACAGTTTTAGAACAGACCATAATCTTTAGGTCAAAGAACACTCTTTACCTTTCCACACATCTTAAGAATATCTATAGCATGATTCCTTTGTAAGCCCGAAAAAGACCCATACTTGTTCTTCAGCAAAACATTTGCTGTTTTGTTTTGCTTAGTAAATTGTAATAATACATAGCTGAATGATGTTTCTCTAATTTCTGATGAATTCAGAAATCAATTGTCCTAAATGACATAGTACAAGTATTGAAGGACTATTGTGTGGACAACTGTATTATGTCATTATGTTATTATAAGTTCATGTTAATCTAAAAGTAACCTCTTTTCTTAGAAAATACTGAGAATTGTAATCCTCCACCTAATGTAATAAATGGGGCTATTATTGGTGAATTATTGGCAAGCTACCCAACAGGATCCTCTGTGGAATATAGATGCAATGAATATTACTTATTGAGAGGAGCAAAAATATCACATTGTGAACAAGGAAGATGGTCATCACCACCTGTTTGCTTAGGTAAGATAGAGAACACATTGAATTAAAGCAAATTTCCCCCTGCTTTATTGAGATGCAGTTGATATATAACATTGTATAGATTTAAGGTGTACAGTGTGATGATTCTATACACACACTGTGAAATTATTACCACGATAAAGTTGGTTTACATATCCTTCACCTCGAGTAATTTAGGGGGCTGTTGTCATGATGAGAGCATTTAAGATCCGCTCCTTTGGTGTCTTTTAAGGGTACCAAATAATATTGCTAACTATAGTCACCACAGGGCTTACCAGGTGGTGCTAGAGGTAAAGAACCCACCTGCCAATGTAGGAGACATAAGAGCTGTGGGTCCAACCCCTGGGTCGAGAAGATCCCCTGGAGTGGGAAATGGCAGCCCACTCCAGTATCCTTGTCTGGAGAACCCCATGGACAGAGGAGCCTGGCGGGCTACAGTCCTTGGGATCATGAAGAGGCACACATGACTAAAGCAACGTACCACGCATGCACACCCAAGCCTGTCCCACCACCTCACCTAGAATCATGACCTCCCTTCCCTCAGCCCTGGACAGCCCCTTCCCTCCACTCTTCATTCTTCTGCCTCACTCATATATGTTGCTTAAAGATCGACAAACAAGATCCGTATATTTAGTGCATCTATTGTTTATTGTATTGCATTTCTCCCAGTTAGAAGGCAATCTTCATGAAGTCAAGAAGCTTTGTTTTATTTGCTGATAAATACCAAGTGACAGGTGCCCCACAAATACAACACAATGAGCACATTTTCTATTTGAAGGTTTTTATTTTATAGAAAGGAAATCATGACGAATCTAAGTGGTTGCTGGCCCTGAACAATATTTTTAATATTTCAAATTGATTGGTTTTAATTTATGGTATAACAGAGTTATATGAAATATATAAATACACTTGATAGTAATGTAATGTATACTTTATTGTGTATGTGAAGAGCTTTAATAATACAAACCAGTAAATACAAAATACTGCTTTTGATGCTTATCATAATTTTATTGTAAAAATGTATCACTCTCATTCTTGTAAAATGAGAAAAGAATTTAAAACAGTCTTTGTCTTACAGAGCCGTGTACTGTTAACATGGGTGACATGCACAGAAATAACGTGCAGATGAAGTGGAGTTATGAGGGAAAGATCTTACATGGAGATTTAATCGATTTTGTATGTAAGCAGGGATATGAGCTGTCTCCATCAACCCCACCCTCTGAATTATCTGTGCAGTGTAATAGAGGAGAAGTGAAATATCCTTCATGTATTAGAAAAGGTAAAACAACAGTGCTTCCTGACTTCCCTGATGGTCCAGTGGTGAAGGCTCCATTAGTTTCACTGCAGGGGCCTCATTTTCTGATCCCTAGTCCAGGAAAGTTCTGCATGCTGCAGCCAAGAAAAAAAGCAAACAGTGCTTCCTGACAATTTCTTAGGTGACCTATATCACAGGTGATCGATATGGTTCAAAGGATAAGACCCTAAGCTATCTACTACCCTCACTATCCAATCTATAAAACTGGGAATGAGCTGATCAATTTCCAGTTAGTACATACCCTTAAATAGAATGACGATGAGGACGTCTTTTAACTTCATAAGTCAATTTTATAAAAGGAGAAATCATGAGATTTTGCAAATGTCACCAGACTTTCAGAGGATGGATCACTTTCTTGTGAGCAATCAGGAACCTTGTAAATCTCACCTCAGGGTGAGCTGGAGAGCGTTGTCTCAGAAGGGAACTTGAAGTAGAGGGAGAGAATTTGTGGACTCCTTAGACAGGGGACTGTTAACTTTTAGTAAAGAAAAAAGGAAGAGAATGCATTCAGAAACATGTCTTTGAGACAGATCTTACTCGCTTTCACTTTTGGAAGACAGAAAGGGGAAAAGTAAAATCATGATGGTTAATACTTTGCTAGTTTTAAATGTGTATTTAAAATTTTATGTATGAAGTGATGGCAGAAAATGCTTTTGATATTTAAAAACTACTTGAGAGTTGTCTTAAAAATGCTTGGACATGAAATATCTTGTTTTATTTCTGTAGCAGTTGTAAAAGCACTGGCCACCTACTGTAGCAATTCATTGTGGACTTTAACAATTGTTTTTGCAGAATCTAAAAGAATGTGTGCCTCTCCCCCAGCTATTAAAAATGGAGTTATTAAGAGTTCAACACTCAACACTTATGAAAACGGTTCTTCAGTAGAATACATATGTTTTGAGCATCATTTCCTTCAAGGGGCTAAGGAGTCCTATTGTTTAGAGGGCGTGTGGACTACACCACCATCGTGTTTGGGTATGTAGTGCTACGTGTATCTCTATTTGTTCAAATTGAGCCATATTTTCCACTTTCTCTCCTCTTTGAGTTGATATAACACTAATATAGGATGAGATGGTTGGATGGCATCACTGACTCAATGGACATGGGTTGGTAAACTTTGGCAGTTGGTGATGGACAGGGAGGACTGGCATGCTGTGGTTCATGGGGTCGCAAAGAGTCAGACACAACTGAGCGACTGAACTGAACACTAATATAACACTTAAGTTTGCATTTGTTTTATTTCATTAGTGTGCCTGTTTATTTACTGGTTTCTACTCTTTGCTCTAGATTTGGTTATTGCGTGTGCTTATTCGCTCAGTCATCTCCAACTCTTTGCAACCCATGAACTGTAGCCCTGCAGGCCCCTCTGTCCATGAGATTGTTCTCAGGCAAGAATACCAGAACAGGTTGCCATTTTCTACTCCAGGGGATCTTCCCGACCCAGGAATTGAACCTGTGTCTCTTTCGTCTCCTGCATTGGCAGGCAGATTCTCTACCACTAGTGCCACCTGAGAAGCCCCAGGTGATCCTCTAGATCATCAATAACGGGAATCCAGCCCTCCTAACGCATACTTTTTAAGTACAAACCATACATCAGCTACAGGGTTAGCAGGACCTACAGGGCGTATAAGCCATGCAGTGTGTGTAACCAGGCTAATCGCAGTCAGTGTGTTATTGCTGCTGCTAGGAAACATGAGGACAGCAGGAACAAATATAGGAATGGCCTCCTCAATCTAGAAGATGAAACACGTTCATGCCTCGTTGGCAAGGCATCCTATAGAAGTAACAATTCCCAAGATTCTCAGGAGTCATAAAATAGCATATTTTTAAATAAAAAGAAAAATTTCTTTGTGTTTATATCTGACTTTCATTTATTTTCTTATTTCACTATCTTGGACTTTTGTACAATGCTGAATAGAAGAAGTGGTGGGTATCCTTGTGTTCCAATCTTATAAGTAAATCTTCCAGTATTCTTCTTTAAATATGGTGCTACAAATACTTATAAAAATCAAATTAAAGATATAGGAGCCACCTATTTCTATTTTGTTAAAAGTTTAAAAAAAACCTCAGTGAGTTTAATTTTAGCTGTATCTGTAGAAACAATCATATAATTATTATCTTTGCTCTTTCTTCCCCCTGGAATTACATTGCTTCTTTTTGAAGGTTAAAGCGTGTTTGCATTTCTGTAATAAATCTCACATAATTGTGATAAATTATGCTTTTTATATACTGCTGAATTTTATTTGATAATATTCTAATTATGATTAATGTATCTTTTTCATGTGAGAGATTGGTTTGTTATTTTCCTTTGGAGTTAGATTCTGCTAACCTCATATGAGTTGAAAAGTATTCCCTCTTATCAATTCTCTGGACTTTGTCTAGGAATGATACTATTTCTTTCTTAATAATTTTAAGAATTTATCATAGATATCACCTGAGCCTTGAGGATTTTGGGGGGTTTTATGAGGAAAGATTTCAATGACAGCTTGAGTTTGTTTAATAAATACCAGGTTATTATCTCTTCTCTCAGTTTCAGTAGGAAGTGGTTTGTATTTGTCCACTATACCTAAATTACCAAATGTGTTGACATAATGTTCATAACATCCTTTTACACTCTTTTTAGTGCTTTAGTGCTGTGAAGATGTATCTCTTTCTTGACATATCTTGCTGCTGCTGCTGCTAAGTCGCTTCAGTCGTGTCCGACTCTGTGCGACCCCATAGACAGCAGCTCACCAGGCTCCCCCTTCCCTGGGATTCTCCAGGCAAGAACACTGGAGTGGGGTGCCATTTCCTTCTCCAATGAAGCAAAGTGAAAAGTGAAAGTGAAGTCGCTCAGTCGTGTCCAACTCTGTGCGACCCCATGGACTGCAGCCCACCAGACTCCTCTGTCCATGGGATTTTCCAGGCAAGAGTGGGGTGCCATTGCCTTCTCTGGAACATATCTTGCTACAGGTCTATAAATTTTATTAGTCCTTTCAAGAGCCAATATCTTCATTTTTTTGATACTTTCTTCATATGTTGCTGTTTAATTAATTTGTATTTTTGTCTTTTTTTTCATTTATTTATATTATTGGAGGCTAATTACTTTACAATATTGTGGTGGTTTTTGCCATACATTGATATGAATCAGCCATGGATTTACATGTGTTCCCCATCCTGAACCCCCCTCCCATCTCCCTCCCCATCCCATCCCTCTGGGTCATCCTAGGGCACCAGCCCTGAGCACTTGTCTCATGCATCAAACCTGGACTGGTGATCTGTTTCACAATTGATAATATACATGTTTCAATTCTATTGATTGATCTCAGATCATCCCACCCTCGCCTTCTCCCACAGAGTCTAAAAGTCTGTTCTATACATCTGTGTTTCTTTTTCTGTCTTGCATATAGGGTTATCGTTACCATCTTTCTAAATTCCATATATATGCATTAGTATACTGTATTGGTGTTTATCTTTCTGACTTACTTCACTCTGTATAATGGGCTCCAGTTTCATCCATCTCATTAGAACTGATTCAAATGTATTCTTTTTAATGGCTGAGTAATATTCCATTGTGTATATGTACCACAGCTTCCTTATCCATTCGTCTGCTGATGGGCATCTAGGTTGCTTCCATGTCCTGGATATTATAAACGGTGCTGCAATGAACATTGGGGTGCATGTGTCTCTTTCAGATCTGGTTTCTTTGGTGTGTATGCCCAGGAGTGGGATTGCTGTGTCATATGGCAGTTCTATTTCCAGTTTTTTAAGGAATCTCCACACTGTTCTCCATAGTGGCTGTACTAGTTTGCATTCCTACCAACAGTGAAAGAGGGTTCCCTTTTCTCCGCACCCTCTCTAGCACTTGTTGCTTGTAGACTTTTGGATAGCAGCCATTCTGACTGGCATGAAATGGTACCTCATTGTGGTTTTGATTTGCATTTCTCCAATAATTAGTGATGTTGAGCATCTTTTCATGTATTTGTTAGCCATCTGTATGTCTTCTCTGGAGAAATGTCTGTTTAGTTCTTTGGCCCATTTTTTGATTAGGTCGTTTATTTTTCTGGAATTGAGCTTCAGGAGTTGCTTGTACATTTTTGAGATTAATTCTTTGTCTGTTGCTTCATTTGCTATTATTTTCTCCCATTGTGAAGGCTGTCTTTTCACCTTGCATATAGTTTCCTTTATTGTGCAAAAGCTTTTCAGTTTAATTAGGTCCCATTTGTTTACTTTTGCTTTTATTTCCAATATTCTGGGAGGTGGATCATAGAAGATCTTGCTGTGATTTATGTCGGAGAGTGTTTTCCCTATGTTCTCCTCTAGGTGTTTTATGGTTTCTGGTCTTACATTTAGATCTTTAATCTATTTTGAGTTTATTTTTGTGTATGGTGTTAAAAAGTGTTCTAATTTCATTCTTTTACAAGTGGTTGACCAGTTTTCCCAGCCCCACTTGTTAAAGAGGTTATCTTTTCTCCATTGTATATTCTTGCCTCCTTTGTTGAAGATAAGGTGTCCATAGGTATGTGGATTTATCTCCAGGCTTTCTATTTTGTTCCATTGATCTATATTTCTGTCTTTGTGCCAGTACCATACTGTCTTGGTGACTGTGGCTTTGTAGTATAGTCTGAAGTCAGGCAGGTTGATTCCTCCAGTTCCATTCCTTTTTCTCAAGATTGCTTTGGCTATTCAAGGTTTTTTGTATTTCCATACAAATTGTGAAATTATTTGTTCTATTTCTGTGAAAAATACCTTTGGTAGCTTGATAGGGATTGTATTGAAACTATAGATTGCTTTAGGTAGTATACTCATTTTCACCATACTGATTCTTCCAATCCATGAACACGGTATATTTCATCAGAGCAGAAAAAGAAATAAAAGGAGTCCAGATAGGAAAAGAAGAAGTAAAACTCTCACTGTTTGCAGATGACATGATCCTCTATGTAGAAAACCCTAAAGACTCTACCAGAAAATTACTAAAGCTAATCAATGAATATAGTAAAGCTGCAGGATATAAAATTAACACACAAATCCCTTGCATTCCTATACACTAACAATGAGAAAACAGAAAGAGAAATTAAGGAAACAATACCATTCACCATTGCAATAAAAAGAATAAAATACCTAGTAATAAATCTGCCTAAAGAAACAAAAGACCTATATATAGAAAACTATAAAACACTGATGAAAGAAATCAAAGAGGACACAAATAGATGGAGAAATATTTTTGTCTTTATTCTTTCCTCTCTTCCACTTTCTTGGATTGAGTCAGTCAAGAGTCCAGCTTGTTTCTACCTTTCCATAAAATACTATCTGTCCAGCAATTGATGGTTTGTCCCATGAATGTTTTATTTGTACTTTCTGAAGAAGAACTATTTCAATGACTATTACTACTAATCAATATTTTCTAAAAACATCTTTTTTTGCTGTCTTTGAAAAACTTAATGGCATAAAACTCAGTAAACTGGTAGGATGTAACCTTTTTCCAAATTCAAGGCAATAGAGATAAATAACAGACTGCTTTCTGTGACCTTTGCATATATTTTCTGACTTGAATATTAGTTCTAACTTACTCACTGCTCTAATGCCCGGGAATCTTAAGGTCATTATGAGAAAGCAATACAGTGGCTAATACTGAAAGGCATCAAGATAGTTTTGTTTTGTTTTTCCCCAGAGCCTTGCACTTTATCTTTTGATACAATGGAAAATAATAATTTACTCCTGAAATGGAATTTTGACAATAGACCATATATTTTCCATGGCGAGTATGTTGAGTTTCTTTGTAAGAGAGATACTTACATAGCTGGGTTTCCGGGTCCTGTATCTGAATTCCGAGTACAGTGTGACAGAGGACAATTTAATTACCCAAGATGTGTTCAAAGAGAAAGGTAAGAAGAAATTTGTGCCTCCAACTATTCTTTCTTTCTCTTCAGATTGTTATTCATGAGATTCATTATGCTATAAATTTCAGACATATTAGGTCCTGCAACACTCCTACTTTATGGTCATTATAGAGGGGGGGAAAATGTTTCTTTTTTTTAAAGCAAGAGAACTCCAAGAAGCTTTAGCTAATTCAACAAGTTTTCTGGGTGGTCTAAGATCAAAGTCCTATTTGCTATTTGGTATTTGTGTCTCTTTGGCCATTGGATAAATAAATCAATTTATATGAGTCACATCTAAATATGGAAAAATTAACCTATATGTTCTGAGATAAGAGAAATCACATTTTCTACCATTTCCCATAGAAATGCATGTATAAGCAACAATGATGGGAAGCATAGCTGGGCAAACTTTCTACTGAGGGAGGAGCATGATAATAACAATGATGAGATTATGGCATTTATTTTCAGGAACACATTTCTATATAAGAATTTGGAAGTTTTTTCTGACATGCTTGGTTACATAGCAATTTTAGAATATATTTTCTACTACTTGATCAATGGAAAACAACCCCATTTTTTTTTCCAGAAAAATGTTAAAATAATGCAATAAAATAATAGAATTAATTTTATTAGGTCAGAATTTTGAGATACATTGTAAAATGGGAATTATATTCTATGTTCAACTAAGAATATTTTTAAATTACTTAATGGCAAAGTACATGTGGTACTCTTCTAGTGATTATAATGAGCTATGTGAACTACATAAGAAGCATTCACAAGACACACAGGTGTAAAACTTTTTCTTTTATTGTGATGAAAATCAGAGTTGAAAAATGTATGTGCTAGTTAAATTTTTTATTATATATTGCATTTCCCATTTCTAAGACAAAAAAGAATATGCAACTTAGAAAAATAGCAGAAAATGGTATTAGTGTAGTTAATGACATTGAGTTTTTAAAAACAAATTGGTGGTATAATTTATCAAGGATGGTTACTTGCTTTTATCAGTACCTCATTAAAACTAGGACCAATCATATGAAATAGTGAATGGTTAAGATTGTAATAAATACTTGACCAGAAATGATGCTTATTTCAACTCCCTGCCCCTTTTCTCTTTTTCGTTCTTATCAAGGATGTTGTCTCATCAAGAACCCGTAAGGACATAAAAATGAACGGCATAAGAGGAACAGCATTTTGACACACTATGAAGTCTTTTATAAAACATAATTGTTAGAAGAAAACTGTTGAATAAAAACCTCTAAGTTTTTACTTGCATGAAGATTTGACTCTAAACTGTTTACACAGGATATTTTCTATAAATAAAAGCCAGATATATTGTTTTATTTCTAGTTTGGTTGACTTGCCATGTGACTTCATCTTTGCTGAATGTCTTCCATCTATTAAAAAATCGATCTACACATCAAAGTATTTCTGGTTCCTAAAGCCCATTCACTGGGCTATACTGTCCTCAATATATGTGCAGGAATTCACATTTGTCTTTGTAATCTTTGTTATATTAGAGTTTTCTGTTACTTTTAGTTCAATATTTACGTCAGTACAAAAGAACCAACTTGACTAGAGTTGTGAAACTATACATTATGTTAGAGGATTTACTTTATTAAATGCAGATGAGACTACCCTTCAGACTTTCGAAGGATAAAGAACTTTTAAAATTAACTGATTATTAGCTACAAGGTTAGTAATCAAATTGTGAGTTAGTGACCCATCCACCTGTTCAAATGTTGCCCACAGAACACAGTTATGAAAAGAACAACACTTGTTATTTTTATATTATATAATTTAAATTATTTTCTAGATCAGATCATTATTGGAAGCTTGCAGATTTGAAAATCTGAGATCAATGAGACCTACAAGCACCAAAAGATAGAGTGTCTGTAATACTAGGATCTATTGGAGTCCTGAAACACCACAAGGTCACTTTTCAGTGTGAAGGAAAGTTATTTGTCCAATCGCTATTGTAGCATATTCACAAGCACCTCTGGTTCCAGTCCCTTATTGGGACTGGTTGTTGTTACCAGAACCACACATTTTCCTCTCTAGAAGCTGCACAGTTCGTGTAACTCAAGAAGTTATTTTTCCGGTATGATGACATTCTTCAGTCCCAACGTACAATTCCTGCTGCTGGGTTAAGAGAGTTTCTCTGGGAATGAAGCCATGGTTGGACTTAACTCTGTGGATTAAACATAGGTTCATTTGATGTTAAACCATATATATTTCAGTCAAATTTCAATTTTATGAGATCTGCTCTGAGAAACTACTCGTGGAGATTGATGGAAATAATGAATATGGACTCAAGGAAGGAGAGTTCTAAAACACACATGGTTTGTTGTGGTGGTTGTTAAGTCACTAAGTTGTGTCTGACTCTTTGTGACCCCATGGACTGTTGCCTGCCAGGCTCCTCTGTCCATGGGATTTTCCAGGCAAGAATACTGGAGTGGGTTATCATTTCCTTCTCCAGGAGACCTTCGCAACAATATCAATAGGAAAGTATTAATCCTTTCCAATTAATTCATCAATTAATCCATTAAGAATGATATTGATATCACATGCTGTGTCACAGCTAATGCAGGATTCAGAGATGAATAAAATTCAGCTCATTATTTCAAGGAACTCACAAAAGAAGAATTATTTAACTTAGTACAAGAGTTAAACTTGTATTATTTGTCATTAATTCAGACATAACAAGTGAATGGGTGGCAGAGTTCTAGGGGTATTTGTGGGGAACTGCTCACGGTAAGCTTTGTTCAACCTGGGTAGCTTCCTATCTCCTTGATTTACTTCCCAGCAGTTTATTTTTAAATGTGGGTTTCTGCATTTTAAAAGTAATTTAGCAATGGTACATAAAGTTTCATAAGTTAAAAAAAAGTATTAACTTTTTTCTATTAATTCAGCAATTGTTGTATTTATGAACAATATTGACCTTGCTCTATCCCAGGAAACAGAAGGTTCAATCAAGGTGGATAATAGTCACGTGGGGATATTGTATCCAGTATTGCTATGTCCTCTGATTTGATAATGGTGAAATCTATTGATCTTTATATTTGTTGTTGTTCATTAGTCGCTAAGTCGTGTCCGAACGTTTGTCACCCCATGGGCTGCAGCATGCCAGGCTTCCCTGTCCCCCCCGGTGGGGGGCCAAAAATTTTGTGAGCAAGGTGGCTTATCAGCTGCCATTTTGTAAACTTCTAATGCTAAAGAAATAAAAGTGTTTAAAGGAGAGCAATAGAGCTTTTAAAGGAGTGGTGTTGAGGGAGAAGTAATTCACTTTTTTGGTATAACTAAGCTGTAGAAAAATTCCTGGAAAAAGTTAAGTCTGAGGCTTACAAAACTGGGACGATATTCCAAGTAGCAAGAATGGCACACACCGACCCAAGTCCTGGGCACACAGTACTGTGCGCTGGACAGAAGCATTGCAGGAGGGCTCTGTGGTCCATGTCTTGACTAAGCGAACTGAATGTCCATCTAAGTGTGATGTGAAGATGGCAGGAGAGGCTATGTGAGGGGTTAGCATGAAGATGTGGGTCTCAGAGATGTTACCTTTGAGTAAACCTTGAGTTTGTGGAGTAGTCAGGTAGAAATACTAAGTACGCAGTTGATTCTGGCAGTCAGTGCTGTGATGAACCACCCAGACTGCTTTCAGAAACAAGATGGACCTCTCAGCCCCTGAGAGCTCTCAGTTGTCAGCTCCCCAAGGGGGTTGCCTCAGCTGAAGCGCCTTCCCTCCCAAAGTCACAGCTTCTCCCCGGGGTGCCTGCACCAATGACCAGTCAGCAGGATCTCTAAAGTTTCCCCTCATTCCAGCTCAGGACAAATCTAAAGGGTCACTAGTTTGCACAGCTCCCCACAGAGCTCGGTGATGCCACTGGTGGCAACTTGACCATGGCTCAGCTTCTCGTGTCTGCTTCCTCCTTTTCCCTCCCACAGGTATGTATTCTGAGTCCTCCCCCAAATCCTCTTGCTCCTAATTTCCACCTCATAGCCTGCTTCCCCAGGAACCCAGTCTGAGAGTGATTATTGTTGTTGTTCAGTCACTAAATCAGGTCCGACTCTGTGACCCCATGGACTGCAGCACACCAGGCCTCCCTGTCCATCACCAGCTCCCAGAGTTTACTCAAACTCGTGTCCATTGAGTCAGTGATGCCATCCAACGATCTCATCCTCTGTCGTCCCCTTCTCCTGCTGTCAATCTTTCCCAGCATCAGGGTATTTTCAAATGAGTCATTTCTTTGCATCAGGTGGCCAAAGTGTTGGATTTTCAGCTTCAACATCAGTCATTCCAATGAATATTCAGGACTGATTTCCTTCAGGATGGACTGGTTGAATCTCCTTTCAGTCCAAGGAACTCTCAAGAGTCTTTTCCAACACCACAGTTTAAAAGCATCAATTCTTCAGTGCTCAGCTTTCTTTATAGTCCAATTCTCACATCCATAAATGACTACTGGAAAAACCATAGCTTTTGACTAGATGGGTCTTTGTCGGCAAAGTAATGTCTCTGCTTTTTAATACGCTGTCTAGGTTGGTCATAGCTTTTCTTCCAAGGAGCAAATGTCTTTTAATTTCATGAGTGCTGTCACCACCTGTAGTGATTTTGGAGCTCCCCCAAAATAAAGTATATCCCTGTTTCCATTGTTTCCCCTATTTGCCATGAAGTGATGGGACCAGATCCCATGATCTTAGTTTTCTGAATGTTGAGTTTCAAGCCAGCTTTTTCACTCTTCTTTTTCACTCTCATCAAGAGGTTCTTTAGTTCTCCTTTGCTTTCTGCCATAATGGTGGTGTCATCTGCATATCTGAGGTTATTGATATTTCTCCCAGCAATCTTGATTACAGCTTGTTCTTCATCCAGCCTGGCATTTCACATGAGGTACTCTGCATAGAAGTTAAATAAGTAGGGTGACAATATACAGCCTTGACGTACTCCTTTCCCAATTTGGAACCAGTCTGTTGTTCCATGTCAACTTCTAACTGTTGCTTCTTGACCCACATACAGCTCTCTCAGGAGGCAGGTGAGGGGGTGTCCAATGAATATTCAGGATTGATTTCCTTTAGGATTGACCAGCCTGATCTCCTTGTAGTCCAAGCAACTTACAAACCTACAAAGCAGAGCAGAGCCTTAGGCCTGAACTGGAGTCATCAGTTAGTAGAAGTCTATTAAAACTAATGAGACGGGTGAGTGTTTCAGGGTAAGGTTAGAAGTATGCTTAGTTCAGGACTTGGAGGGTATTCAGAGTTTGGTGATTGGCTACAGGAAAAGGTCTAACAAAGAAAAGTGATGAGGAAGGACTGGACTGGTGGAATGAAAAGCAGGAACGCTGAGGACTGGAGATGCTTCTTGGCTGTTACAGGTCCCCTGGAGAGGAGCAGCATTATTCTAGGTGAGACTAAGACAAGAGCACATTAAGGAAGAAAGGGAGGGTCCAGAAACATGAGGGTGGTGGGCGTGGCAGTAAGCGTCACAGTGAAAGGGAGCAGTGTGGACTGGGAGGTGAGGATAAGCAGGAATTTTGAGTAAAGTGGGAGAAATCTGAACCTGTTCAAATGAATGCAGATGGGTGGATAAAGAAGGACAGTGGTGAATTTTGTTAATACGGGTGGTGACATTCTCCTCGGATCCCTCAGTGCCGTAAAGCATGAGCGGTTAGATTTCCTTCGTTGTATTGAACCTGTATACCCATTTGGGTTAATAACTGGGTATATTGTGGGGAACTGTGTACTTTTTGTTTCCAACCTATAAACACTTGGGTTTCTATCCTCTACAGTAACTGACAGTGAAAAAAGGAAGAAGAAGAATGGATGGGAGATAACGGGGGAAATGGCGTAAGGATGCAGAGAGAAGAGATGGGGCCCCAGGCAGAAGTAAAAGGCAGCTTTAGCTGGGCGGGGGGGACTGGGTTTGTGGCTGGAAGGAGGCGCTTCTGGTACCCCGGCTTCTATTTCCTCCATGAAGGAGGGAGACACCTGCTGAGAGTGCGTCAGAATACGTGGAGAGAGAAGCTGAAGGGCTGAGGAGACCAGAGAGAGTTTGGAAAAGCCCTCTAGAGGCTGGAGAGGGAGATGGTAGCAGAAAGAAAAGATGAAGAAGGTGAGCCAGCAAAGTGATCTGGCAAAGGAACCATTTCACTCAGTTACCACTTCAGTTAGGAGTGCGGGGTGTGGGGATCGTGTCATTGATACAGTAATCGCCATTTTGCTTCTGAGTGAAAATTGCGTTGTATGATCATTATTTATCATGGCGCATATGAAAGGAAACCCTGCATGGGTGTTTCGCCTCCTTGTGGGGCAAGGTGGCAAAGTCAGAAACCAAAGGATTGCTAACTTGGTGACCGCCCTATGACTTCCCAAGGCTCAGAGCGGGGCTGCCCGGTGCTATACAGAGAAGGTTTCATGTTTCATAGGGAAACGAAGGAGTCTTCAATATCTGTTTCTTCATAAAAAAGAAAGATCACAACACTGGAGAACGTCACACATGCAAACTGAATTCAGGGAGACACAGGACAATTCCTCTGGAGGAAAGATGGAGCAAGTGGAAGCGCAGTCAAACAAAAGCTAAGAAGGAGTTTGCCTAAACACTTCTTCTCAGATACACATTGAAGACCAGCTGTTGGACCAAATACAAGGGTTCAGCTGGACAGGGGTTTTAACCTGTTTTTATACACTTTCAACATAGCTTTGTGGTAAAACAAAAAATTCAGTTTTGTATTAGCATTCGTTTTTCCTACAACCAGATATCTTAAGAATTACAATTTTAAATAATTCATTATGTTTTCAAACATGAGAGCAGCTCTTTAACATTGTAAACAGCTCAAATGATACAAATGTAATGGAATAAAGAATGAAAATTCCCTTTATTCTTTTCCTTTTACTTATTTGTTTGTTTTTTGGCTGTTCTGGGTCTTCATCCCTGCATGGGCTTTCCTCTAGTCGAGGGCCGGGGCTCCTCACTGCAGTGGCTTCGGGCTCTAAGGAGTGCATGGGTTCAACAGGTGTGACACATGGATTTAGTTGCTCTGAAGCACGTGGGGTCTTCCTGGAGCAAGGATCAAACCCACGTCTCCTGCACTGGCAGGCGGATTCTTTACCACTGAGCCCACAGAAGCCACAGAAGCCACAGAAGCCCTCCTTCATTGTTCTGAAAACCCCAGATAAACTTCCTTAGTCTGCACAACACTAAAAGCACTTGCTCTGTCTTCCAGATGCAGGACAACACTGGGTAGGCATGCACACATCAGCTGTAACTAGGCACACAGGTGTGTGTTGCCTTACACACGTGTGTGTTTTAATTTATATATATATATGAATTTATTGAGGTGTATATTACATAGCACACCATGTTTATTGTCCTAAGCCTTCCAGGTTTTTTTTTATTGCTATTGATATATGATAGACCTATCACCATATCAGTATACCTAAATTGATCTCACTCTTCCTAATATCTGAATAGTATTTCATTAGCTGGAGGTAGCGTACTTTATTTAATTATTCTCTGATTGATGGACTTTTAATTATTTTCCTCACTTCCTTCCTTTCTTCATTCCTTCTGTCCTTCTCTCCTTTCCTTCCTAGGTTATAAGAGGAAATCAAGTAAAAATAACATAAAGCTGAAGTGAAGTTACAGAATTCTAAATATATTTAAAAGAACAAATAGAAAAGAGTTTAACATTCAATAGACTTGCTTGATGGAGGAGAGGGAAGGAAGGAGAAAGAAGAAGTTATAAGCTGATTTTGTTTTCCGTGAGAGGAGCAGTTACATATTGCCCCAAAGGTGAGGGAGTATGGTGTTATTAAAAAAAAATATTAGCATAATGATGACTTATTCTGTTGCTCTTTCTTCTCAGGAAATTCCAGGGATTTGGGGAGCTATGAGCCAGGATAAAAACCAAATATATACTTCTCATATACTTGGTCATCTGAATGACCAAATATACTTTTTTCCTATAAATTACATTATCACACTGTAGAATATATACACCAAGAGTGAGCCCTCGTGTAAACTGTGGACTTCAGGTGATATTAATGTGTTACTCTAGGTTTACTGACTGTAATGAATGCACCTCTCTGGTGGAAGGTGTTGATGAGGGCTATAGGGTGTTTAGGAGAGCAAGGGATATTTGGTAACTCTGTACTTTCTGCTGAGTTTTGCTGTGAGCCCCAAACATAAAGTTTACTTTTAAAAATGAGGTAATTTGTGCAATAAATTGTATGATCACCTTATGCCTTCTCCACCATATTCTTCTTCATTTTAGTATTAGAAGATCACAATATGTCTCTGGAGATATGACTTCCTAGTAAGAGATTATGTTTCTAGTTTCCCTTGAAGTTTGTAGCCCCAGGAACACCTAGCAGTAAGTTTATTGCCTAAGAAGATGTCAAATTAAGAAAAACTAAATTTTAATAACACCTGGATATTTATATACTAAGCTTCAAAATGTGGTATATCTTCACAAAGTCGTTAATACTAAGTATATTGTTGTAGCCACGCGTTCTGGGCAACAAACTCACTCAGAAGGACAATGCAGATAGTGCAGGTACACTATCTATTTAGTGCATTTACACTATGCAATAGTTTATTACACCGGTGGGCCCAAGGCAGAGTCTCCTCTTAGCCAAGGACCCCAACCAGTTATTGTGAAAACCTTATATATCCTAAGTGTACGTGCTCAAACCCACATCCCTCAGTTCTCTGAAACTAGTCTGAACAAAGGAAAAGAAAGATACAATCAAAGTTAACCCGTGATTCATATGCCTTAAACCCGTGATTCGTATGCCTTAAGCCTAGGTACTTAATAGTGGACAATTATCAATAGGCCTATGGTCATACCCCAATAAGCATAATAGAATTTATAATTCTATTTGGTTACACAGATAATTAGGGTATTCTTTTAGGTGACAGAGAGTCTAGATACGAGCCCTGGGGCTCTTCCACTGGGGGCAGTGGGGGGCGGTGACTGGTTTTCCAATTGGTATGTCATTTCCATAGATACTGGGCATATAGCTCAAAGTCCATAGTCCGGTCCAAGACAGAATCCTGCTTTCAAGATGGAGCCTGTTCTGTCTGCTTCCTCCTTCAATATGATGGCAAATATTTCACAGATGAGGAAATAGAAGCCACACAGTTCATCATGTATCACTGAAGACCTCACATCTATCCATTCTTACCAGGACTTAAATTCATATTAGTCTGTCCCTAAAGACTGTGCCATTAACAACAATGCTATAGTGTGTCTCAAAGGTACAGGATAGTTTATATAGAATTCCATGTAACTTCACACAATATAATAATACATCAAAAGAAGCAATTCAACTTACGGTTCTCTCATAATACTTTAAAAGGTGACACAGTTTGGTTACCCTGACAAGGTCAGTTGTCAGGTGTGTAGATGGTATAAAAAAATGAAACAAAAGTCAGGGGGAAACAAAAAACTAGCTTTGGTTCATTTGTGCAAAACCAAGTCTGTAAAACTAAAGAGTTTCTGTTACCACGTTTGATATTTGCTTTACTCCCACTGAGGGTAAGTCTGTTTGCAATCCTGACTGAAATATGCTGCTTGAGGAGCTCAAGAAACTTTCTTATTAAGACGTGTGTGTTTTCCACACAGCCAAATGACGCTTCAATACCAGCAGCATGGCCTACAGTTCAACTCAGTTCTGACACTGTCTACTTGGAGGCAGTACCAGATGCCACGGCTTAAGGGCACAGTCCCACAGGACTCTCCCCCGCTACCCCCGCTTCAGAAACCCACTGAAGGTTGAAGTTGTTACCTGTCCTTCTGACTAACTGGCTATAGATCAGAGGTTGTCATGACCTCTTCCTCAAGTTCGATTACTTTGCTAAAGTGGCTCACAAACAGCAGAAAGCATTCGATCTATTAGAGTCCTAGTTTCTTACAAAAGGATCTAACCCAGGAACAGTCAGACAGAGGAGATGCTCAGGGCAAGGTGTAGGGGTGGGGTGCAGATTTTCCAGGCTTTTCCTGGGGCCAGTCTCCTGATACCTCCAAATTCTCACCAGCCTGGAAGCTCTAGAACCTGGTCTCTAGGTTTTCTGGAGGCTTCCTCGCATAGGCATGGCTAAATAACTCATTGATGTCTGGCAACTGATTTAACCTCCAGCTCTTCTCCCATCCCTGGAAATTTAAGTTCAGAGTGGGCTTCCCTGGTGGCTCAGATGGTGAAGAATCTGCCTGCAACATAGGAGATGCAGGTTCAATCTCTGTGTGGGGAAGATCCCCTGGAGAAGGGAAGGGCTACCCACTGCAGTAGTTTTGCTTGGCAATCCCATAGACCGAGGAGCCTGGTGAGCTTTCCAGTCCATGGTATCACAAAGAGTTGGACAAGCCTGAACAAACTTTCACTTTCCCTCCCCCTTCCTGGAAGACAGCTAGCCGTATGTATCTAAGAGCAGGATATTCATAAATATTCCAGCTATAATAAGATATAAACAAACTTTAAATGTTTATATTGCTGCTGAAGCTTCAGTATTTTGGTCATTTTATGAGAACAGATGACTCATTGGAAAAGTCCCTGATGCTGGGTAAGATAGAGGGCAAAAAGAGAAGATGGTGTCAGAGGATGAGATGGCTGGACGGCATCAGCGATGTAATGAACATGAACTTGGACAAACTTAGGGAGATGGTGAAGGACAGGGAAGCCTGGTGTGCTGTAGTCCAAGAGTCGGTCACGACTGGGTGACTGAATAACAACAAAAGATATAAACAAACTTTAAATGTTTATAGTGATTATTAACTTGAAGGTATCCTTAGTGGAGCAAGAATGGTGAATACCCATGATCCAAATGTAAAATATGTTTTACCATAATCCTATTTGATATGTAATCTGTAATACAGAAACTATAAACTAGAACTGGCTCAGCTCTAGGTCAAGACTGCCAAGTCCATAATCTTCTCCTACCCTTGATGAATAGCAACTGGAGAAAGTTTTACTTAATTTCTCCTACTGGTAATTATGAGATAATTATGCCTTCTTTGAAGAAGGAGCTTTGGGGTTTAAAAGAGATAACAATTGAAAAAAGACAAGTTCTAGAACTACTAACTCTGTGTTGGATACTACCATGATTTATTTTATTCAATCCTAAAATTTTCATTGGGTGAAATTTTACTAGTGTATAAAAGAAAATGTTAAGGTGACTAATTCATTCATTCTATGCTAATTCTTTTAGATGTATGTGTAATACCTGAAGATAACATGAATAAAAATAACGTGATTAAAATGGAAACTTGAAGAAAACAAATTTTGTGCAAAAACAGGAGATATTATTGACCTTGTATGTAGTTCAGGATGTTACCCAATGAGAGCAAGACAATTCTTTCTCTCAACATGTTGGGAAGTAAAACTGGAATAACTTGGTTGTGAATAAAGTAAGCTTTTACCCCTGTGTATGGCATACATTTCCCTATTTCTTTCCGTGTCTCATCATATTTTTTAACTTTTAATTTTATATTGGAATGTAGTTGATTAACAACGCTGAATTAGTTTCAGATGTACAGCAAAGTGGTTCAGTTATATGTATAAATGTACCTATTCTTTTTCAAATTCTTTGAAAATTCATCATTTTTTTGGTTGTTGTTGAAAACCAGATATTTTAGATAACATATGGTAATACATGTGAATTCTGAATCCTCTCCAATCAAGTACTTGCTGCAATTGCTAGCGTTTGTTTATTTGTTTAGTGACCAGTGTGGACTAATTCTGTGGAGTCTGATTTTCTCAGTGTGTAGATTTTTATGACATTGCTTAGCTTTTTATTTTTTAATCTGACTTCCTAGGGGTCATTCTTGAATCAGCATAGCTTAGTAGTCAGACAATAACTGGTCAGATGTTTTGCTTAAACATATTGACCAAGTGAGGATTTCACCTTTATCTCTGGAAGAGTGTGTGGCCTGGGGAAATACAAAATTCAGGGAATTTACAAGTCTGCTCCACATTTAGCCAAGGACTAATGACTCTCTCTGGTTTCTCTGATGGAGCAATCGTGTGCGTATCCACAGACTTCTGACCACCAGCAACAAGGGGCATCTTAGCGGGGACTTCTGGGCTGCCCCTTTCTCCAAATTGCCCTGTTAAATGGCTGGCTGAGCTGCCATTTTCTTACTTGCCCCAAATAGTACCCACTAGAGATGCTGGTCTTCCTGGATTGCTTATATAACAAACATATACTGTCTATTGCAGTCTATGATGTCATTGGGGCTGGATTTTTCCTAGCTCTGTGTTCCCTCCAGGCAGCAAAACCTCTAGTCCATGGGGGTTGCCTGGCTGCCCAGCCTGCAACTTCTGACCCAGGGAAAGAGAGAGGAGCCAGGGAACAGTCACTCTTTTTTACTGAATAAACATTTCTCAAGAGTATACTCCTCGATCCATTTCCGGAAACTAAAAATGCTGGGGTTTTTCTCCCCCCATTTACTTCTGTCTTTGGGGAGAGAATATGTTCAGGTTCTCTCATAGCCATTCTTAAAGTCCTTCCTAAACAAAATGACTTTGAAATATAATCTGCTCAAGATTTTCAGGAAGCTTTATCTGACAAACTTATTCTTGACTAGATTTTCAAAATGTCTACAAATATGAAAACTATCAAGAAGGAACTTAATTCTTTGTGCCTCTTTAAAAAGAATGTATGACTGTCAGATTGATGTTGTGTTAAAATGAAGATTGGCTGGCCCTGAAACAGCTCACTTCTTGGCCAGCAAGAAGAAAGAAGGGGCTTCATCTCTCCTCCTCAGGGGTCCATTTCTGAACCCTTCAAACTGGGAAACTTAGTAAGGGCAACCACAAAGAAGCTGCACAGCTATTAGTAGCACTGTGCTCAAATATCAAATGATGGACTCAGAGTATTAACATGAAAACCCAGATGAGATATTATTTAGAGATTTCACATTGCCCTCTGTGAACTTTGATATTTACCAAAAGGATTTCACTACACTGGCTTCCTGGTAATGCACGGAATTCACAGTCATGCTCATAACTGTAAATGAAGCAGCACTGAGAGAAACATCATCATTGCAGGACCATTCTTAATTACACGCTGCTACCATAACAGGCATGTTGCTTTTAATTCATGTCCTTCTAATCTTATGGATTTCTACTGTGGGGGGACAAGGTAAGTTGAAAGCCTGAAAACAGCTCTGAATATTGAGTTCCTCTCTCAAATGTGTGTGTTGGTTGTGTGTACATATATTTTTAAATGAATACAGTGGTGAAAGTATTGGGAATGAAGGACCACCATTTTTGTTTTTAATGGAAATATTTTCTAATATGCAATTAAGGGAAAATAGAATGAAACAATTTTTCTATGATCTTTAAGTTATGAAGTATAAGTAGACACCAAATACAAAATACAAATATAGAAATCGTATGTTGAAAAATCTGTATATGATGAAGGTAAAAAGATGAAGTGACAGTGTAATTCTGCATGAATGCTGCAATACCACAGACAAGGAAAAGTATATCAAGGAAATCTGGACGCCTGCAATGTGTTTGAATTTTCATAGATTTTTTTAAATTTAAGGTTTGAATATTATAAATTCATGAATTTTCTACTTCAATCTAATCATCACTTGACAAAGAAAAATCTTTTATTTTTTACTAAAATATAATTTGATGTACAATAGTATGTTAGTTTCAGGTGTACTACAAAGTAATTTGGTGTTTGTATGCATACATTATGAAATGTATGATAATTCTCATAACAATTTATCCCATACAAAGATATTACAATAGTATCGATTCTGTTCTTTACGCTGTGGCTTATTTATTTTATAACTGGCAGTTTGTTCCTCTTAATGTTCTTCACCGGTTTAACCTGCCCACTCTCCACCTTCCTCATCTCTGGCAAGCACCCGTTTGTTCTCTCTATGATGAGTCTGTTTTTGTTTTGTCTTGTTTCTTTGTTTGTTTTGCTTTCTAGATTTTGAAATCCTCACATGTAAATGGGGTCATACAGTTTTTCTCTTTCTCTGTCTGACTTATTTCAGTTAGCAGAATGCTCTCCAGGTCCATCCACATTGTCACAAATGGCAAGATTTCCTCTTCTTTACAGATGAGTAATATCCCATGGTATATACAAATACCACATCTTCTTTACCCATTCATTTATCTGTGGACACTTAGGTTGCTTTCAAGTCTTGGCTATTATAAACAGTATTGCTATGAAGTTTGAGGTGCATTTATCTTTCTGAATTAGTGTCATCTCTTTTAATGAAACTATAGAGCATATCCTTATTTTCATATGTAGTAAAACTAGTGAGATACCAATAAATTATTTGCTTCTTCTGAGCTTTTAAGCAAGGTTTAAAATGAAAAAAAATATTGTACACCACTTCTCCTTTAATACAAAACACTATGTCTCACAGTATTTTTAAAAATGTCACATCTTGTTTTGTGTTGAAATAAAATCCATCATATCTGAGTAATTGCAAATGGAATATCCTACAAGATCTAGGGTAACTGATTAAACTGTATGTGGAAATGGGATTTTAGGCATGAGCTTTACCATTTGATTTTCAGAAAGTATTTATTTTGCTCTTTTGATGCTAATTTTTGCACATAGTTGTTCTCTTTGGGAAAATCTCTTCAGTCCTAACATAAGAAAAAATAAGAACTATAAAATTCCCTCCTTTTATGATCCACCATTATAAAAGTTGCAAAACATTATTTCTACAGACTTGAAATACTCTAGTTTGTTTATACATTTTTCAAAGAATTATAATCAGAGGACTACAGTTAGCTAATGGGAAAAAAGTATTTTTCTCCAATAACAGACATTGCTTAGTCGACTAAAATGCCAGCTTCTCTGGTTAGCCTAAAGTAAGGATTAGACCTTTACAACATCCTCATTTAAAAACTGTATGTATGGGTGTACTTGATTCTTTTTAACCTATGTGGCTGGTACATATTGTTTTGAATACCATCAAGAATGGACATTAAGAGGGGATTTCTAAATTGGGGGGGAAAGCAGAGGAAGATGAGTATAAAATATAGTCATATGTAGAATTTTGACAACTTGAAATCTGAGGGGTTTCAGATTGGCTCAGTCATAAAGAGCCTGTCTGCCAAACAGAAGATGCAGGTTCAGTCCCTGCATTGAGAAGATCTCCTGGAGAAGGAAATGGCAACCTATTCCAGTATTCCTGCCTGGGAAATCCCATGGCCAGAAGAGCCTGGCAGGCTATAGTCCATGGGGTTACAAAGAGCTGGACATGACTAGTGACTGCACAATGACAACATTGTGTAAAAAATGTAAAAAGATGTTCAAGCTTCAATCTAGTCTCCTGTAGAACTTTTAGAGAAGCTCTATCAAAAGTTGTATAGATACTAAGTCAGGAGTCCCCAGTCTCCAGGATCTAATGCTTGATGATCTCTGGTGGAGCTGGTGCAATAATAACAGAAATAAAGTGCATAATAAGTGTAATGCACTTGAATCATTCCCAGATCATCACCCCTCATCCCCAGCCATGGAAAAATTGTCTTCCACAGAAGCAGTCCTGGTGACAAAAAGGTTGGGGACTGCTGTACAGTTAAGTGATTCAGGAGTTTGTGCGGGGCTGGAGAAGACTCTTGATAGTCTCTTGGACTCTAAAGAGATCAAATCAGTCCATCTTAAAGGAAATCAACCCTGAATATTCATTGGAAGGACTGATGCTGAAGCTGAAGCTCCAAAACTTTGAGCACCTGATGAGAAGAGACCACTCCTTGGAAAAGACACTAATGCGGGGAAAGATTGAAGGCTGGAGAAGAAGGAGGCAACAGAGGATGAGATGGTTAGATAGCATCACCAACTCAATGGACGTGAGTGTGAGCAAACTCTGGGAGATAGTGAAGGACAGGGAATCCATGGGATCGCAGAGTCAGACATGACTCAGCTACTGAACAGCAACAATAGCTGTCCATTTACCTATTGAGAGACTGGCTGGAGTGCAAAAGAACCACTCTAAAGTAACACTTGCATAATTCAACATTCTTCATGCTTTCAGTAGTAAAATATTTATCAAACACTACACTGTGCACTAACAAGTTAGAAAGAAAATGAAAACTCCGTGTCTCGTTACAACACCCAGGGTCCTCAGGTACTTACATGAGGAAAGCAAACCATGTAAATAAGTAAATAGATTGCAAGATTGTGTGTGTGTATGTGTATCCCATAGGAAATGTACTCACAAGGTTTTGTGAGAATGTCGAGCCTTGAGAAATCATTTTCTCCTTTCGGAGTGGGTGACTGGGTAAAGGAGATCTATGAAGAGCAGTTACTGAGTTAGTGCCAACGCTGATGCACAAGAGTATTTGCTAAACGTTGTAGAATGAGCTTTGAAGGGTGGGTAAAACAGGGACGTTTGGAGGATGGAAGCAAGGTTATTCTGCATAGCAAAGAATATGTAGGTAAAAATGCATGGAAATTGAATACTATAGTTTGACAGGCAGACAAGAAATACCCATAAAAGAATCATGGGAGATAAGTGAAGGCTTCCCGGCTGGCTCAGATGATAAGGAATCTGGCTGTAATGCAGGAGATCCGGGTTCCATCCCTGGGTTGGGAAGATCCCCTGGAGAAGGAAATGGCAACTCAGTCCAGTATTCTTGCCTGGAGACTCCAATGGAGAGGGGAGCCTGGCGGGCTGCAGTCTATGGGCTCGCAGAGTTGGGCACGCAGAGTGACTAACACTTTCACTTTCACTATCAGTGTGTGAGGGTTTTGTATTTTTTCCCCTCCGAAACCATCTAATGTAAAATTTTAGACATTTAGATAAGCAACTTCAGGTTTCACAGGTGAAATACTATGGGAATTACTAGCTTCAACTATTGTGCAACATTGAAAATCACCTCTAGATAAGTGGAAAGGGGAAATTCCCCTGGTTAACTAATTTGTGAGCTGAGTTTCTGTAAGTTGCTTTTTTCTTTTTCCAAATAAAGAGAAAAAAAAAAACCCACAAAACACTTCATCTTCAATGTATCAGGAAAATACAGACAAGACAGAGACTTCAGGTGGAGTTACCCAGGACTAGGATTCAGAGCAGAGAAAGGAGGTGAGTGGAGATGCCAGCACGTCCTGTACACCAGTGAGGTCTTACTGCTGTCCCACTCTGCTTGGCTCTTCACCTGTGGGAAATTTTCTTCTTGAAGATACTGCCAGGGACATTATATTTCACATGACTCTAACATCTACATTTTACCTTCATTGACAATGTGCTGTGTGCTAAATCGCTCAGTCGCGTCACTTTTTGCAATCCCGTGGACTGTAGCCTGCCAGGCTCCTCTGTCCACGGGATTCTCCAGGCAAGAATACTGGAGTGGGTTGCCATTTCCTCCTCCGGGGGCTCTTTCTGACCCAGGGGTCGAACCTGAGTCTTTTATGTTTCCTGCATTGATACATGGGTTCTTTACCACTAGCACCTGTACTCATCATTAGAGATCTTTCTTTGTTCTTAACTAACTAGGACACTGGAAGGCATTAAGCTAAAGGAATTTAAGCTAGATGAAAGAAAAAATATTGATAAGATGATTAAAATACAATTTAATGATTCATAAATGTAGATTCATATTTAATTCTTCAGTTTTGTTTTATTTTTCACAGTGAGACATTGTGATTTTCCAAACATAAACCATGGAATTCTATACAATGAAAAGAAATACAAGGCATCTTTCCCAGTTTCTCCTGGGAAAATTTTCTATTATTCCTGTGAATATAATTTTATGTCTCCTTCAAAATTCTTTTGGACTCCCATAACATGCACAGAGGGAGGATGGTCACCGACACCAAAATGTCTCAGTGAGTAAATGCCTGATGTGGATGAATTGTTCGGGGAGTGGAGAAGGATGTAGCAGGTGGGGTCACAAGGTCTTGACAGATAGTCACAGGGATCAGGACTAGAGGAGCCAGCAAAGATGAGAGATGTAGTCCTTCATGTTTTGAGAAGCCTTTTTTGAAAACCAAATGAAGAACAAATACATGAACTTTCATGTTCTAAGTTTTAAGACTGATCATTAATATATTTCACTCCTAATATTTATGTCCTAATATTCATTTATCAGCCTGGTCATAATTTTTTCTTTAAAAAAATATTTGTACATATCCATTCTCTTTTGAAATGTAACATTCTCTTGAATATTGAAAGGGTCACATAAGATTTAGCATCTACACTTTTACATTTTCCAGAGATTAATTTTTTGGTGCCTAAAATTATGTCTATATTAATCCTTCAGTAAATGTGAAGAGCATACCCAGATGTAACAAGTGTACTAAAACAGAAAAACAATGTGGGGGGGACGCAGAATAAATGAGCCAACAAAGGTAATAATAATGATCTTTCTATAAAAAATATTTATGAGAATTAAGAGAGAAACATACATTAAAACACTATTTATACCTAGAAAAGTTTATAAAAATAAAATACTTTGTTATAAAAACCATAGAACAATGGAGTGAAATGTTAACTTCCTTTTGTGTATGAAACATGTATGAAAAGTATATATTTCGTCAACATAGCAGCAAAACCTAACTTCTTTTAAAATTTTATTTTCATACTTAATTTTAGCTTTCAAAGCTTTCCATTAAAAAATCTTGTAAAATGCAAATGTATTTTACTATTGTTTTACCGCTTCCATCTGGTACCTTAAACAACTTTTGGTCCTTAGGAGTGTGCTTCTTTCCTTTTGTGGAAAACGGTCATTCTGCATCTTCAGGACAAACACACCTAGAAGGCGACACTGTTCGAATTACCTGCAATAAGGGCTACAGCCTCCCGGATAACCAGGGCAGCATTACCTGTGCTGAAGCGGGCTGGTCCTCCCCTCCTGAATGCATCTCCACCAGTAAGTGAAATGCCATCTTCTCCAATCCTGGAACATGTGATTTTTTTTTAAAAAGAAAGAAATCTATTGTCACATCTTAAATAGAGATTTCACCACTTGCTTTTATTTTATACATTTGTTTTTTAGTTACAGCTGTCTCTGAATAGATGTACAAGTAACATAGTTTGCCTGCCTTCACAAATCAAATGTATTTAATAAAAACAAATATTAAACAAGAATATAAGCAGTTGAAGATAGTACCTTTATGTTAAAGTAACACACACTTTTTGTGTACAGTGCATTAAAATTATGTTAGCTGAGAATAAATATCTAGAAAACTAAAATATTAAGGAGAAAAAAGTCTAACACCAGTTAAAATGTGTTATAACTAAGAAAATTGTTAATAATTAATCTTTTGTGTTAATATTAAATTCACATGCTCGATTCAATAAACAATTTCTATCTTTTAAAAATTTTGTACTTGTGAGAGTTATGTCTGTTTGTCACTGATTTAAAATCTGGAAAACAATTCCTTGGAAACTCTATAACATGGCAGCATCTTCCAGACCTCTGGAATCATAATAATAATTTATAATCGCCTTTCTATTAAATAAAATCTACAATAATTTATAATCATCTTTCCAGTGTAGTATTCAGCCAGAGATTCAAGGAGACATAAAAACTTCTTTAGCTGTTTCTCATCATAGTGCCAATTCTTTGTTACTCAGCCAGATAAATTCTAGCCACCAGGTCCTCCAAAACCCTCATCTTGCTCTTCTCGTCTCAGGAAAACCACAGGGCTCTGCCTGGTTTCTCCCCGCTGGGAGCTGGGAGGCTCACGAAGATCCGCTTTGGGCTTTGGACTTTGTTATCCCCCTTCTCTTGATCATCATGAACCCGCACTGCCTAGTTTCCAGCTTCCTGGAAATACGTTTTGTCCAGTTTTCTAGCTTTTTAACCAGTGGGATGAAACGCTGATACCAGTTACTTCATCTTACCAGGAAGTGGAGTCTTCCGGTATGCTTTTTAAAAAAGCAATTATGCTATCAAAATCCTTCCACACCTTCAATATTTAAATTTAACCTTTTAGGAGACGGACTCTTTCTAAAACAGTTTGAATGACAACAGTGTTTCAGTAAACAGTGAGGCCATGGTTTCTTACAATTACAGAGGGCTTAAACACGACCAATATTTGCCAAAAAAATAAAATAAAAGAACAAATCTATTGACATACCTGAAATGTCCAGTGACCAAACATGGTTCATGTTGTATAAGCCTCACTTATGGTACAAATGTTTTTGTAGCCCATTTAATGGGGTGATGGCAACCAAAGTCCAAGAATTGAATTTCAAAGCCTGACAACTCCATTTGAGTACTGCAAACTGACAAGGAAGTCTACACCAGTGTAGACACCTAAGCAAAGGGCTCAGTTTATTGCAAATCATTCATAATTCTTTATAGGAAATTATTTAATAATAACTGAATTGGATTTCTCTTGGGCATACTAAAACTCTCTGGCCAGAGTTCTTTCCTCGCTTTTTTTAGAGCAACACATTTAATTTTAATGTGCCTTATTCTATGTAAAATATTTTATATAGTTTCCCAAAATATTTTCTTTGAGGATTTAATAAACTAAAAATGTGGATTGCAAGAATAATTCTAGGCTGTGGTTTTCCTGAAAGGCGGCTTATGTTCTTTCTTTTTATAGTCATATTCATTGATTTATTATGAAAAATTTTAATAAATTTTTATATTTTCCTTTTTTTTCAGAAAAATGTTTAAAAACAGATATTGTAGTTGCCAATGGGTTTTTGTCTGAGTCAGAATATGCTTATTCTATAAATAAAGAAACACAATATAAGTGTAAACCAGGATATACAACAGCAGATGGAAAAACAAGAGGGACAGTTCAATGTTTGCAAGGTGGATGGTCAAGTCAACCCACTTGTATTAGTAAGTAATTTTATTCTTTACTATGCATCTTTCTGAACCCACAACATGGAAGTTTACTTCAACCTTTTTTTGTTGTTGTTGCTTCTTCAGAGATTAGATGGCATCATTGATTTAACTTCTTTAGTTATGTTTTTCCATGTCTTCAAAGGAGATAATCTTTCTCCTAAGTCTATTTTTTTTTCCTAGAAGAAATGCCATTATTTTGAAAATGAGTAAAAAAAAAAAACCTAATTAGATTTACAAAGCTTTGTACCTGCATGCTCAGTCCTGTCCGACTGTTTGCAACCCCATGGGCTATAGCCCTCCAGGCTCCTCTGTCCCCAGGATTTTCCAGGCAAAAATACTGCAGTGGGTTGCCAATCCTACGCCATTACAGAGCTTCAGGCAGAGCTGAATTTGTTTGAGACTGAGATCTTTGTGTATTTATCCTTCTCCATCTTCAAATTCTCAGTCTCCTGTAGTTGATTTCTTGTTCCTTTTAATTCAAGTCCTGAGTCCGAGGAATAAGCTGCATCCACGGTGTACTGGTCCAAGGACACTAACACTGAGCTCTTTTGAATCCATGATCTGATGCTCAGAGAAGGAACAGGTCTAGAAATTTTTGTAATCTGTGAATATTTGAGAGGTATGGGTGGGTTTCAGGTTCTGGTTTCTGGGAAACTTACACTAACAATGGATTTCTGACTTTTACAGATTTTCTTAGGGATAAAAAATGATAAATCGGTACTCTATAATCAAGTTAACAGGCATAGGGAAAAACCTTAAATTTGGTAGAATTTGAAGTTATATAGGGCTTCCTTGGTGGCTCAGATGGTAAAGAATCTGCCTGCAAGTCAGGACACCTGAGTTTGATCCCTGGGTCAGGAAGAACCCCTGGAGAAGGAAATGGCAACCCACTCCAATATTCTTGCCTGGAGAATTCCATGGACAGAGGAACCTGGTGGGCTACAGGAGTGGGTTGCCATGCCCTTTTCCAGGGGATCTTCCTGACCCAGGAATCGAACCTGCGTGTCTTAGTCTCCAATATCAGCAGGCAGGTTCTTTGCCACTAGCACCTTCTGGGAAGCCCATATATATATATTTACTATATAATATGTAATATATAATTTAATTATATAATAATTATATAATATATAATAATGTATAATATATTATAATCATTATATACTAGTTATATATTTATATAATATAAATGTATTTATATTGAAATATATAGATATAATATAAAATATATATAAATATTTTAAACAAAAAGTTATCCAGAAATAGATATACAAGGAAAATGCAACTAAAACCAATTTTCATTAAATTATTACTGGCATTTTCTATAAGGTCATTTATCTATCAGAACATAATGATCATTAAAGATCAGTGTTGGCTTGTTGTGTGCTTGGAAGTAGAAATAAAATTCTGATTTTTAATTTGCCCCAGAGTCCTGTGACAGGCCGGCACTGGTGCACGCCAGAGTCCAGAGTGATGTCACGTGGTTTCAGCTCAACGACAGGCTGGACTACGAATGCCACGCCGGGTATGAAAACCAAGATGGAAGCCGCACAGGCTCCACAGTGTGTGGTGAGGGCGGCTGGTCCCATTTGCCCATGTGCCGTGGTGAGTACTTGCTTCCCTAGGAAAAAAAAAATGACGGGTAGGTTTCTTTTTAGTAGGCTTTCTACAAAGAGTTTCCCTGGTAGCTCAGTTGGTAAAGAATCCGCCTGCAATGCAGGAGACCCCCGTTCAATTCCTGGGCCGGGAAGATCCGCTGGAGAAGGGAAGGCTTCCCACTCCAGTATTCTTGGGCTTCTCTGTTGGCTCAGCGGGGAAAGAATCTGCCTGCAGTGCGGGAGACCTGGGTTCAACCTCTGTTGGAAGATCCGCTGGAGAAGGGAAGGCTACCCATTCCAGTATTCTGGCCTGGAGAATGCCATGGACTGTGTGTAATCCACAGGGTCGCAAAGAGTCGGACACGGACTGTGCGGCTTTCACTTTTCTAGAAAGATGTTTCCTAAATAGCAACTATCAGAATTCAAAGCGTTTCCATGTAGCTTAAAGAAGACAGAGTTGAATACCAGTTATTGAATAACAGATCACTGACAAGCACATCACCCGCTCAAAATAAGGGTGCTTGAATGCCACACACAGAAAGATTATCTTAGAGTTTTGGAGGTCCAAGTCCTGAAATCAAGGTGTCAAATCAAAGTTCCTTCTGGAAAAAGTCCCTCTCCACTCTCCAAGTCATTTGCATTTTGGGGCTCATGGCCACTTCCTCAAATCGCTTCAGCTTCTGGCTCTGTTGTCATATTTTCTGCTTTGATTCTGCCTCTCCTCTCTCTTATAAAGACCCTTGTAATTGCACTGGACCCACCACCACACAGTTAATTTGGAACAACCTCTCCATCTCAAGGTCTTTTTTTTTTTTTTCAAGGTCTTTAACTTAATTACATCTGCAGAGTACGTTTTCCATGTAAGGTAACACATCTGCAGATATCATGGATTAGAAGATACACATCTTTGGTTGCTATTGTACTGTCTACAACACCATACAAGAACTATACATGAATAAACTAGGTGGAAAATCCTATATCATCCAAGATCAATTATTTTCAAAAGAACTTTTTTTAACAACTGGATAAGAGAAATAACGTTAACAACTGGTAAAGAACTGTCGAGCAAATATTGGAATAAAATACAGAGATACAAGGCTGAAAATCTTATAGAAGCTGAGTGAGCCAAATTCCAGGGGGATATGCACAGATATGCTGCTATTAAACCATTAAATGGCCAATAACAATACATGAAACTGGGTAGATTAAATAATATTTCTGAGATTATTTAATTAGAAAATATTCCACTGTACTTTTTTGATGTGTGCCTGATCTATTGAGAGTTCTTATTTTGTCTTGTCATTTATATTTTCACATGTGAATTTCAATATAGAATCTTATAGTGAAGTGAAGTTGCTCAGTCATGTCCGACTCTTTGTGACCCTGTGGACTATAGCCCACTAGGCTCCTCCTCCATGGGATTCTTCAGGCAAGAATACTGGAGTGGGTTGCCATTTCCTTCTCCAGGGGATCTTCCCGACCCAGGGATCAAACCCAGGTCTCCCGCATTGCAAGCAGATGCTTTAACCTCTGAGCTACCAATGAACCATTAATAACAGAAGGTTAAAAGAGAAAGACACACACATATATTCATTTATATATCCATTTCTAATTGAATCAGAAGGTATTCACAATGTTTTAGTTTTTACGTACATAGTAGGTTGACCTGAAATAAATGGACATCAGTTATTTTTCCATCAATGAGTTTATTTGGGATCAGCAGAGAATTTCACCTTGGGGTCTGCAACCATGAAGAGTCACATGCAAATCCCTGCATATCGAGAGAAGGAGAATTTTTTTGATGGAGAAGAAAAGGAAGCGGGAGGGCTGTGTAGACTGTGGCTTTTCATTGGCTGAGTCCTTGCAGGAAAGAAGAGCCTTTCTTCTTCTGATGGGCTCTGCTATCTTCATGGAGCATGAGAAACTTTTGGTCTCCTGGCTTTATTGAATTGAGGTTTCTGTTAATATTTAACAAGTGATATAATATTTTACATTATACAGGGTATAATGGAAAGATTCAGAAAACCTAGAGGCAACTTAGCCATGTGTTTTTGAAAAAGTTTTGATATTTAGTTCCTTATTTATAAAATTATGAATTGCATTTTAATGTTCCCTCCTGCTTAAAATGTATTAGACATGTTTTATTCAGGCACTCTAGCTATCTACTTTTTAAACATAATTATCATCTTTTATGTGAAAGTGTAGTGAAATATGTTGTATTTTAATTTTTATTTCTCAAAAGATTGGATTTTCATGTATTTTGTGAACACTATTCCTATTCTATAAATAAATCATAAAAGTTAAGTTTTTATTGTTAACTAAACAAAGTAAATATTAATAATTTATAAGTAACTTCTCAGAACTTGTCTATAACAATCCTGAAGAGACTCTTATACAAAATTATACCTGGGTGTTCAACTGACTAGATTTTCCAAAGGGTCTTACACATACTTGTTGAATAAAAATCTTTTAAAAGGCAAGAATATATGCTGCCCTGTATGTGAAGCCCCCTGAATCTTATTTTTACATAGAAAATGTTAACTTCATTTTTGCAATGATTATTTCACATATATTCATTTATGTTATTTCTACTTTTAGAAATAGAATGTCATCTTCCATTTTTAGAAGCAAACGTAGATGCTCATCCAAAGCAAGAAAAATACAAAGTTGGAGATGTGCTGAAATTTTCCTGCAGACAAAGACTTAAAAGAGTTGGACCGGATTCGGTTCAATGCTATCAATTCGGATGGTCACCTAATTTTCCAACATGCAAAGGTCAATGTTTATTTCAGGATTGATGAAATAAGAATTAGATTTTTATATTAAATCCATGTATTTTATTGGCTTTTGTATTTACAATCTGACAAACTGCAAAAAATGCAGAAGGAGGAGGGGTGATAGACCATAGTAATTGAGTTGCACAGCTTGTTTAAATTATTTTTGTCAAGGGGTAATTCTACCTCATGTTGTGAAATATATGAAGGGGTTTTAAAGATAAAATACTGTAGCTGAGGTTAAGAAGTGCTAGTGTTTTTTCTCCTTAATCTTGTTAAAAATATAATTTAAAAAATATTGCATGGTCCTTGTTACATTTTTATTAAGAGAATAATCAAATCATTGTAAAAATGGTTTACTAGATATAAAACAATGACAATTTGTGGCTTGCTTCAGATGACATTATTTTCATCAAGTTTTTGATCAAATTATTTTAAGTGTTTATGCTGCTGTTTAGTCACTAAGTCGTGTCTGACTCTTTGCGACCCCTTGGACTGTAGCCCACCAGGCTCCTGTGTTCATGGGATTCCCCAGGCAGGAGTGCTGGAGTGGATTGTCATTTCCTTCTCCAGGGGAATCTTCCTGACCCAGAGATCAAACCCACGTCTCCTGCTTGGCAGGCAAATTCTTTACCACTGAGCCACCTGGAAGCCCAGGTGTTTATAAATATTATGTCATAAATTATATGTGTATATTATACCACATACCTGATATTTATTTATGTAATAACCTGGTTCTATAATAAATAACTTGCAATATATTGGGATTTGAGGACAACCAGGATATTTGGATATAAAAAGAATATAAGATTATACTAAAAATTATTGCTAGTTTGAAGAAGTGTAATAAGATATTTTATAAATGTAAGTAAATATCCTTATTTCTTATATAGGGATTCTGAAGAATTTAGAAGTAAAATCTCACTGTTTATCATTTATTTTAAATTACTTCACAAACAATTAATCACAGCAAACTGTGCAAAATGTAACATTTCTATATCTAGGTGATCAGTATGTTTTCCTTATGCATTTTTTCCCTTTAATTTGTTCAGAATTATTCTTACTAAAAAGTCAAAATTTGAGAAAGAGAGTAGTCAGTACCCTATATACAGTGTAAAAACAAACCTGAAAAAAATAAGAATGTAGTATAAATGTAATTAAGTTCTGGATCAAACAAAATCAAACTGCATAATTTGCAATATTTAAGACTATTTAAGCATTATTTACACGGTTTATTTTGTGTTAGGGCAAGTGAGATCATGTGGTCAGCCTCCTCAACTGCCCAATGGAAAAATGAAACACAAAAAACAAGAAAAATATGAACACAATGAAATGGTGGAGTATGATTGCAACCCTAATTTTGTAATGAAGGGGCCTAAGAAAATACAATGTATGGATGGAGAATGGACAACTTTGCCCACGTGTGTTGGTAAATAGATACTCATTTTTAAACAGGACGGTTACTTTTACTTTGTCTGTATGTATAAATACATATGTAAAAAGATAAAATATTTTAAAGGTAAGCATATTTTTCATGATATTTTCTTAGAACCGGGGAAAGCATGTAGATTTATACCTCAGCTTGAGAATGGCTATAGCCAGCCCTCTGTCCCTCCCTATCGACATGGAGTTTCAGTGGTATTAAGTTGCAGAAGTTCATATACAATGATTGGAAATGCTACAATTGCATGTATTGATGGAATATGGACCGAGCTTCCTAAGTGTGTTGGTGAGTATATGTTTCTCCATTTTACATTTGATTGTATATAACTTTTTTAAATCAATAAATATATTTATACCAGCACATGCTGGTGCCCACCAGATATTAAATTATTAGGACATAAGACACTTAATGCTTGCTCTTAATAACTCTTAATGGTTAAGGATTTCCTTTGATCTATGAATATTGTGCGAAATTACTGAGACACTTAGTATCTGTGTATCAAGAACATATGCAACGTCTGCTTTAGATGAATCCCAGACTGTTTTTTCCAGCTATCTTCTGCTCCATCATCCCACCTTCACCACATGATAAAGCTATGCAGACGAATTGTTTTTTAAGCTTCTAGAAAGCCATGCTTTCCTTTTTTTTTTTTTTTTTTGAGAAAACAACAGAGTACCTTGAAAATAAAGCAGTACATCTGGTACACAGGGGTTGGCATTGAGCGGACAGGTAAGAACAGTTACTGAGCGGCGGAAGGCAAGGAGTCGGGAGATGGTGGAGCCGAAGAGGATTGGCTGAATAAAGGACAGTGGATCTGTACAGTGGGACACTGTCTGTCTTACATAAACCAGGGTAGAACTTTACAGTGTGACTCTGCAATATAACAATAGATATAAGGGTACGTAAGTCCCTTACATATGAACCAGTTGCAAACTTTCAAAGCCGTGTTTTCTGAAAACTCTGTGCCTCTCTTCCCTCTTTACTCTTTTCCTGAAATGTCTTTCTCCATTTTAATCACATGTAAAACTATTCACCTTCAAGACTCAACTCAAAATTCTCTCACCCGTGAAACCTTTCCTGATTCATTTTCATCTACCCACAGGCTTATCCTGAAACTGCGGTAGAATGATAGAGCTTCCTCACTGTGCTATCTGCCTGTACATTTATTATGTAGCATTTATTCCATGTCTTGTACTTAAGACACTTGGGCTCAGAATAGCTGAGCCCATGGGCATGGACCCAATGCCTAATTCAGAGCCTTGGTAACCACTTCAGTTTGTGTAGATTTAAAACATTTTAAGATTATGTGTCAGTAACTCTTTTGCAATAGCTTTTCATTGGCATTGCAAAGGCTTCTCCTCTAGGGCATGGTCCATGTGGTGCCAGCCTTCTTTCTTATATCACACCCCTGCACCCTCCTTTCTATTAGTTTAGGCTTTCTAAGAGACATAGGGAGTCTGTAAAGCTTTACTTGACCTTTTAGCTGAATACATCAACCTGTGCATTCAGATCTTACGTTAAGCTTCTACATATGTTTTATAGGTTTCTCACTAATACCATTTTCTGCATTAGTTTCTTCCCCAGTCTCTTTGAGGTTTTATTGGTAAAGAGGACCTTTTATTACCTTATATATTTGAAGCATTATACTTTTATATGCAAGATAACACCAGAATTTTTAATGTCAATTTTGTTTTTAGCAACCTTGCTGAATTCCCTTATTACTTCCCAGAATAAATTTGGATGTTTTAATTTCTATAAATGGGCTTCCAAGGTGGTGCTAGTGGTAAAGAATTCGCATGCCAGTGACTTAAGAGATGCCAGTTCAATCCCTGGGTCAGGATGATCCCTTGGAGAAGGAAATGGCAACCCACTCCAGTATTCTTCCTGGGAAATCCCATGGACAGAAGAGCCTGGAGGGCTGCAGTCCAGAGCGTTAGGGTCGCAAAGGGTCAGACACAGCTGAGCATCTGAGCATTTCTATAAACAATTGCTGTCTGATCTTTTTTTATTTCATTGCATCAGCCTGGAAAATACCTCTGTGTGGTTCCAAAATAAGAACCAAAATTATAATTATATAGCCTGAGTTATAGTACATTCTGGGATGTTTGGAGTCTCCTCTTAGGGAAAGAGAGACCAGGACCCAGGCCTGATCTCTGCTCTTCCTGTTTTCCTAATCTCCTTAACTCTATCCCAGATTTTCAGATTAGCTTGCTGACATGTTTCTTGCACAGAAGTCATAAGTTTTATTCCAAGTTTTTCTTTTGGTCTGTCTGCTTTATTCTCTTGTATCCCAGCAGTCTGTGGACTTTCAGCCACAATGCAAGTTTTTTCCTGACAAAGTCAGTTGCTCAGTAGTGTCTGACACGTTGTGACCCCATGAACTGTAGCCCACCAGGCTCCTCTGTCCATGGGATTTTCCAGGCAAGAATACTGGAGTGGGTTGCCATTTCCTCCTCCAGGGGATCTTCCCCACGCAGGGATCTAACCCCAGTCTCCTGCATTGCAGATGGATTCTTTACCATTGAGCCACGAGGGAAGCCCAGCAAAGTCAGATCCTGGCTACTTTGCTCCATTTCTAGCAATCTCAGTAAATCTTTAATTTTGAACTTTAAAGACTGGCAGACTCTCTGTTGCTGCTCTTCCAAATTCTCAAGTAGATCACCCAGGGCCACTCCTTCCCCATCTCCTTGGCTTTCAGATCATCAGCAGGCCCCCTTACTCCTGGGGATGAAGACTCCTGGGGCTAGCTGCTGAACCCCTTTGAGTCTGGCAGACCCCTGGTCACTGGCCCTCCGTGATGACCCACTGGGAGGAACTGTCTCCACTCCCGGAAGGTGTAAACTGTATGCGCTCATGGTCGCCAATCATGTGGAAGTGGGACACAGACCTCCAATCAGCAGCATCACTTGGAGTACATTTAAAGTAGGAATTAGTGGAGAAAAAGGACTTAGCAGAGAAGCAGCAGAACCTTCCGTGTCTCATTATTCTGTCCTTTGACACACGAAGGGGAAGGTCCCATAGCGATCTATGTATTTGTGGACAAAAGCAGGGGAAGTGTAATACTACAAACCACCTCCACAAGCAAGAGACCTTTTGGAAGTGCGTGTTTTGAGGATCCATAGGGGAGGCCTGGCATGCTGCAGTCCATGGGGTTGAAAAGAGTCAGACACGACTTGGTGACTGAACAACAACCAACTGTTATATCAGAGAAGTTCTCCCCGGCACATGCTCTGACTTACTGACTCTGGGTCTTTGCTAAGCTTCTGAAATGTGGGAATAATTGAACCTCAAGGAACATCCAGATTTATCTCTCTTTATTAATACGATACTGCTATAGACTTATTCATGCATCACTTCTTTTTATAACTTGAATGCCTTGAAAATATTTCTTCAACCTGATATGGTGGGTACCTTTTCTTGCCTTTAAGCATGAGGCTGAATGTAGCTACATAAGGACTGACCTTCAGTCAAACCCCTGGACCTAAGCAACCCATCTTGCACTATCATTTCCCAAAGACTTTCTGATCCATTTTTTGGTCGTTCAAACACAGGCTATAGCTTTTTGCTTTCTTTTACTTTTTTTGACAGCACAGCCTACCTCATGCAATGAAATGAAGAATAATTTCATAGGATGATAATTAAATGTATCAAGTATAATTTAATGATACCATAAATACTTCAGATATTTTATTGAAACGTTGCTTAGTTTCTGTTTAATAGTCTTATTGGATATCTTCCTTTTTAATAGCAACAAACCAACTTAAGAGGTGTGAAAAACCAAGGTTCTATGTAAGAGGACAGTTAAGTTCGTATATGTATGAATTTAATCACAATGCCAGAGTAAGTTACAAATGTGCTGGGAAGAGTACATACATACAAACAGTCTGCATCAACGGGAAGTGGGACCCTGAACTGGACTGCTTAGGTAAGATTGGTTTGAAAGATTTTGCAGATCCTTTGCTTCTTCACCGAAAAATGCTCTTGAAAATTAACATGCTTTTAAATTAAATTATTTACTGTGATACATAATCATAAAATTGGAAGGTAAAGTTAGGAACTGCTCATAACCATGGACAGAGGAGCCTGGCAGGTGCTTAGAGAAGGTAACTGGTGGCCAATTTTTCTAAATACCAATATTATACTCATTAATGATTACAGAATAAAGAAAACTTGAAATGTAGGACAGACTAAGAGAATTTACCACTTAAAGACTCATTTTGAAAGAGATCATATCAAATATACATGATGGAATACTAACTCCTAATGAAAGAGTATAATGGCTGGGACTTACCTAGTGGTGCAGTGGTTAAGACTTTGCTTTCCAATGCTGGGGATATGGGTTCCAAACCCAGTCCAGGATCTAAGATCCCACATACTTCAGGGCCAAGAAAACATAAAACAGAAGCAATATTGTAACAAATTCAATAAAAACCTAAAAACTTTCTGGGTATGATGGCACTAGAAATTGTGAAGGAAAAAAACATTTGAATATATAATTAAATTTAAATAATGATTTTAAGAAGATAAGTTAACTATAATTTGTCTAAAACAACTAAAATTTTTCATTTTTGTCAAATATTTTATTTTTCAACATATTTTTATTTTCTTATATTAGGAAGTGAATATTCTTCTGAGAGTTTTAAGAACTTGTTATATGCCTGTGGAATGTTTACTTAAATTTACCAGCTATAGTTGACTGTTACATTCCCAGTGTTAAGACCCTATAGATCACTTTCATAACCACAAAGAAGTAATATTTAAAAGTAATAATGAAATTGACCTCCTCGTCTTTCATTTTGTGAAATAATTCACTTCCAAATAACCTAATGGAAGTGTATTATAATTATAAAACGTACAGTAAAACCTATGAGATGGACAATAACCAAAACTTAGAGTGACATTCAGAGCCTTAAATGCATATTTTTTAGGAAAAAATAAACTTGTGTGTGTACACATTAAATAAATATATAGCTAGGGGAAAACATACATTTCAGATATGAAGAAGAGAAAGAAATAATAAAAGTATAAGCAGAAGGAAAAAATAGAATATTTTACTTACAGTTGATTCCTTAAGTAAAATTAATTCTTAAAAAGATTAAGCAGACCTGTCTAACCAGTTTTACTCTAATCAAGAAGAATGGTGAAGTCTGAAAGAAGTATTCTGCAACCAAAAAGTAGATGAAAATACAAGTTTAGGGAAATAGGAGAATACCATTTTTTATTTTTATTTTTTTTCTTTTTTCTTTTTTTTTTTTGTGCTTTCTTTTTTTTTTCCATTTATTTTTATTAGTTGGAGGCTAATTACTTTACAACATTGCAGTGATTTTTGTCATACATTGAAATGAATTAGCCATGACCATTTTTTAAAGTAAGGAAATTTAGGGACTTCCCTGGTGATCCAGGGGTTAGCACTCTGCACTTTCACTGCTGAGGGCGAAGGTTCAAATTCCTGGTTGGGGAACTAAGATCCTGTAAGCTATGTGGTGCAGTAAATTTTTTTTTTTTTTTGCAGAGAAGCACCAATTAGACAGCAGCCTCTGCCTTGGGGGTAGGAATGTGCTGAAGGAGGGCACCCCATGAGTCTTGGTCAAGAAGTGGGCCTGTGGTTCTGACCCACAGTGCTCTGGTGTTAAGGTGTTTCCCTAAGAACAAGTCCAATGACCAAAAAAAGTCAGTTCCTAGTCAGATAGAGGCATTCTAACCACATCCATCAGCAGGCACTGTTCTGTTTAGAAGAAAATGCAGATTATGAAAATATTTTATTGCCATCAAAGTTTAGGCTGTTGAACTTACCTCCCATCTCCCTCCCCACCCCACCCCTCTAGGTTGTTACAGAGCCCGGGTTTGAGTTCCCTTAGTCATATCGCAAATTCCCACTGGCTATCTATTTTACAGATGGTATTGTATGTCTCCATGTTACTAACTCCACACATCCCAAGAGGGAGGTTCAAGAGAGAGGGGACATATGTATACCTATGGCTGATTCACAGTGATGTTGGCAGAAACCAACAAAATTGTTTAAAATTATCCTTCAATTAAAAAATAAATTAAAAAAAAGAGAATAGGTGGTCAAGGGAAGCCTTGGCTGGTTCTGTCATTACTGTTGCTATTTAAATATTTTTTTTTTTGTTCTAACTTGTTTGAATCACATGCACATAATTTTTTTGAATCATGTGGGTTAGCTGGAAAAATAATTAAAAGGGTTAATTTGAAAAATTATACAAGAGTACTGACAGCATAATGAGTAGGAGATAGAAAGAGGCACATGAGAAATTTTGAATAAATTATTATAACACAGATGTGCTTTTTAAACCAAAAACTATGTTAACATAAAACACAGGTATTACTATAGCACAGGATATGTTGTTTTTTAGGTGCTAAGTCGTGTTTGACTCTTTGCAACCCCATGGACTGTAACCCATCAGGCTCCTCCGTCCATGGGATTTTCCAGGCAAGAGTACTGGAGTGGGCTGCCATACCCTCCCAGGGGATCTTCCCAACCCAGGGATTGAACCTGAATCTCATTCGTTGACAGGCGGATTCTTTACCACTGAGCCACCAGAAAGCCCAGCATTGTATACATTATATGTATATGCATATATATATGTATGTGTATGTGTATATGTATGTATGCAGAGAAAAAGAGAGAGTTAGTTATTGGATGACCCATTGTACTGAAATGTCATCTTGTTGAGCTATTTTTCCTTAGCTTTTATTAATCAAATAATGCAATTTTTTTGTAGGAAAAAAGAAACAATTGTGCCCACCTCCACCTCAGATCCCTAATGCTCAGAACATGCGAACCACAGTGAATTATCAGGAAGGGGAAAAGGTCACTGTTCTCTGTAAAGAAAATTATGAATTTCTGGAAGCAAAAGAACTTGTGTGCAAAAGTGGACAATGGCAGTCAGTACCACAATGTGTGGGTCAGTATTTGTTTCTAAAAAATGTTATTTAAAAAGAGGTTTCTGATCTTCGCTTTATCTAAAGAACAGGAAAAAAAAAACTTATGCCTTATTTATTACACAATATTCTGAAGCATTAAATTGTCATCTAGTTACCCAATTCTGTCCATGTTTTAAACTGTTTCTCTAAGATGTATCTCCAAGAGTGACCAGAGAAGAAACAGGTTTGAGACCTTCACTGGAAACTCAATTCTGTTCATTAGAATTACTCAATATCCAGCATTAAGATGTAGAGCGGGCAATCTGAGAGTGGTCAAGGCTAGGGTTTGAATTTGGTAATTGCTGCTGGAGAGATGATATGAAAGTTTTGGGATGGGCTGGGAACACATGAAGAGTTTACATATCTAAACAAGAGAGAAAGAGGTGGGCAAAGAGGAACAGCCAGACAAGAAGGCAGGAGATAAACTAGGGAAGGTTGCTAAGATAATTCCAGGACCCAATTGCAACGTGGGGGTGCTACCCCTCATTCTACAAGCAAGTGTCCCACAATTTGACTCAGTTCTGACACTGTCTACCCAGAGACAGCCTCAGATCTCACAGGCTAAGGACTCAGTCTTAGAAGACTGCTCCCTGCGGCCCTGGTTCAGATGCAAGTTGCATGTCCAGGTCGTCACCTGTGCTTCTGACCGACCAGGTATAGATGAAGTTTTCCATGACCCTCTCCTTGGGTTCTGTTACTTTGCTGGAGCAGCTCACCACACTCAGAAGCAGTTTATTCACTAGATCACCATTGTATTACAAAGAGAACAACTCAGGAACAGCCAGAGGAAAGCGAGGCTCTGGACAAAGTGTGGGGGAGGGTGCAGAGCCACCATGCCCCCTCCAGGCATGGCTCTTCCCGCATCTTCCCACAGGAAGCCCTGTGGACCCTGTCTTTTGGGGGGTCATGGAAGCTTCAGCACATTGGCACCATTGATCAAATCCGTGGCCATGGGTGATGGATTTGACCTCCAGCTCCCCTGCCCTCCCTGAAGGTCAGGGTGGGACTGAAAGTTTCAGCCTTCTAATCACATGGTGGTTCTCCTGGCAACCAGTGCATCCTTGTGTTATCAAAGGGCTTTCCAAAAATCGCCTCATTGATGAGACAAAAGGCACCTGGATTGCTTTCCATCTTTAGGAGATTCCGAGGGTTTCCACAGCTCTGTGCAAGAAGCAGGAGTCAGACCAAGTGTTTGCTTCTTTTTAAAAATCACAACACCGCAGCTGGTGTCCCAGAAGTGATGCCAGTGGTATAAGCCAAAAAAAACCTTACTTTAAAATGTTATTTGATAGGACAGCAGGCATTTCAAAGACTGCTTAGGATTGGGCAAGATACCTGAGAATTGAACAGTGGATTTAACAAGGAGCTCAGCCTGGTGCTCTGTGATGACCTAGAGCCGTGGATTGCGGGGGGGGGGGGCTCCGGAAGGAGGGGATATATGTATTATCATGGCTGATTTGTGTCGTCTGGCAGAAACCAGCGCAGCATTGTAAATCAATTTTCTTCCAATTAAAAAAAGTTAATAATAATAACTTAGGAGGAAGGGAAGTAAATGGAGATAGAGATGAAAAAAAAAAAAACAGTGGATTTAGCTACCTGAAAATCAGTGGTAACTTTGCTTTTACGTGATGAAGCTGTGACTTTTTCAGTGCGTTTCTAAGCTGGTTACTGATTCAGCAGAGGCGACATTGGTGACACAGCAGAAAGAGGACAATTCATGGGGCAGGGCCTTTGCTGGTGTAAAGGGTATAGAATCCAAAGTCCACATGAAGGATGTGGTTTGAGAAAAGAGCAGGGACAACAAATGAAACAGGAGAGAGAACAAATTATTTGCGATCAGATGTCTGATTTGGTCACTCCATATCTGTAGCTTTTGTGACCTTGTAGGGAGATGAGTCAGTACCATGGAACTTATTCCAGCCGATCTTAACATAAAGTTGAAACACAATGGACAGAGAAAGAGGCCTATGCTATTACTTGAGTTAAAAAAGTGAATGCAGAGTAGTATGTCTACAAGTCATTTCAGTAAAATCAAAAGTTCATGACCTTAACTGATAGCTACATGATGTTTGCATAACATTAACAGTTGCCCCAGAGAATAAAAATGGGAAGGGCGTTACTTATTTTTACCTTTACTCTGTAATTAAATGTTTTTATGGGGAAAGGTGAAATAGACCAGAGGTTTACTCACCAGTCCATCAGGTTTTAAGTGAAAACAGTTTTTAATACTTATATAACCTTATATATATGGGCTTCTCGGTGGCTCAGCAGTAAAGAATCCGCCTGCGATGCAGGAGATATGGGTTCGGTCCCTGGGTCGGGAAGATCCCCTAGAGGGGGGCATGGCAACCCAGTCTAGCATTCTTGCCTGGAGAATCCCATGGACAGAGGAGCCTAGCGGGCTCCATTGGGTCGCCAAGATTCCGACACGACTGTAGCGACTGAGCGTGCATGCCCTTATATATACTTAATACCTATTTTTCGTGTGTTTTATTTTAGGGTGAAAGAAAGCATTATAGTTCTATTCTAGTTATCAGGTTACATGATAGAAATTTTATAATGAGCTATTTGGATTCTTGGACATCATGTAAATAAGATATTGAAGATATGATATATGGAACTTTACATTATTCCATTTATACTGTAATACTGATTTTTTTTTTAACACTTACATGTCATCTTCCAGAGTTTGCACAATATTGTGGGCCCCCTCCACCTATTGACAATGGAGATATCACCTCCTCCCCCTTATCAGCATACTCTCCAGGGTCGGTGGTCCAGTACCGCTGCCAATCTTTCTATGAGCTCCGGGGAAACCTGACCGTGACGTGCAGAAATGGACAGTGGTCAGAACCACCCACATGCGTTGGTGAGTTCTTCATATTCTCTCAGAGTCTGAAACTTGGACTAATTTTGTAAGATAATTTTTACTCAAATTTTACTTAGCTGAAAACTTGTCTAACGAGTGTAGGTATATAACAGAACATTTTCTTTTTTAATCTGCTTTAAAACAGCGTGGAAAAAAGTTTCTTTAAAAATGATAAATCAGGACTTCCCAGTAGTACGGTGGCTAAGAACGTGCCTGCTGATGCAGGGCACATGGGTTTGCTCCCTGATCCAGGGAGATTGCACATGCTGAGCAGCAACTGAAGCCCCCTAGGCTGCAACTTCAGGGCCCCTGTTCTTCAGCGAGAGAAGCCCGTGCGAGGCGGCGGGAGAGCAGCCCCGCTACTCTGCAGCCAGAGATGAGCCCGCGCGGCAGCCAGAAATAAAGACATTAAAAACAAAACAAACACCGTAGTATAAACACGCTTTAAAGAGACCCCAATACGCGGCGCATTGTAAAACTCCGTGAACACCCCAAGTCATTTAACCACAGGTGTCCTCTTACACCACAAAGTATTTTCATGTTACAAACATCTGAGGGTTTTTCCGGGAGACCATTTGTGAAACGCTGGTCCGGGAGTTGTTCTTTATCAGTACGCAAAATTCTACTTGTAAACCTGAAGGCTTTTCCTGGAAGAACTCTTTGCAGACCGCTGCTCACATGGATTTTTACTCCCACGTGGCTGGGAGTTCTAGCAGGGAAGTAGAAAAATGGGCAAGGTTAGCAGGTCGCCTCCCAAATCTGCACTATTTCTTCTTCTTCTTTTAATGGTTATTTGGCTGCGTCAGGTCTTCGTCGGCACGAGTTCCCTAGCTGTGGCACTCTGGCTCAGTGGCTGTGGTATGCCAGATTATTTATTTGCTCTGGAGCGTGTGGGATCTTAGTCCCCCAACCAGGGATCAAACTTGTGCCGCTGCACTGAAAGTGTGCAGTCAACCACTCGACCATCAGGGAAGTCCCTCTGACTCTCTTAAAGAAATTATAAAGTAGGACAAACTCTTTGAAGAGCAGTTTGGGAATAAACCTCAGATTTTAAAAACACACATCCTGTGACCTCATTACTTTATTTCTGGAAGACTAATCTATACACACACTCTTGCAAGTGTAAAAGAATCTGTACAAGGATACTCACAGCCACATTGTCTAGCACAGTAAGAAATGGAATCGACATTTCTATCAGTAGTCTTATGAGATTTGCATTATTAACAACCTGTGTCAATGAATGAAGAAACGAGGCATAGAACACCTTAGTATTTGATTTAAGCTGCTTGGTGAGTATCTGGTGGTGGTAGGATTCATACATCACGTTGTTGACAAAGGTCCATCTAGTCAAAGCTATGGTATTTCCATAGTTATGTATGGATATGAGAGCTGGATCATAAAGAAGACTGAGAGCCAAAGAATTGATGCTCTTGAAATGTGGTGATGGAGAAGACTCTTGTGAGTCCCTGAACTGCAAGGAGATCAAACTAGTCATTCCTAAAGAAAATCAGTCCTCAATATTCATTGGAAGGACTGATGCTGAAGTTGAAGCTCCAATACTTTGGCTACCTGATTCGAAGAGTTGACTCACTAGAAAAGATCCCAATGCTGGAAGAGATTAGGGCAAGAGGAGAAGGGGGTGACAGAGGATGAGATGGTTGGATGACATCACTGACTCAATGGACATGAGTTTGAGCAAATTCCAGGAGACAGTGAAGGACAGGGAAGCCTGGCTTCCATATTCTGGCTTAAAACACTAAATTATGTGAATTTGGAAAATGTATTCTGCTTCTCTGAGCCTCCATCACCTCATGGGTAGCCTGGGGAGATAATGCCCAGCATATAGAAATGATACATGCAACATGCTAAGAACTATGTCTGGTACAACTGAATAAATATTAACTTTTAATATTCTTTTATAATTTAATTTCGCTCAAGATTTTCTTAAATGCAATTTCACTGTTCTCAGATAAGGAAAGATTTATTATTAATACTTTATTATTTTTTCTTTCAGATGCATGTATCATATCTGAAGATAGAATGAGCAAAAATAACATACAGTTAAAATGGAGAACCCACCCAATAAGATATGCTAAAACAGGGGACTTCATTGAATTTGAGTGTAAACGTTCACATAAAGAGAAAACACCCGTACAATCATTTCGAGTCCTCTGTCAGGAAGGGAAATTTGAATATCCCACTTGTGAATGAAACAAGTACGACTTCCCTGGATGGACTCTTAGAAGTAAACTTACAGGTGGGCTGTAAGTATTTGCTATGTAGTCACCGCTACAGTTACTGTCTTTAGACTTTCAGGGATGGTTTATCACAGTTTTAATTAGAACTCTGGGTTCTCAGAGTTTCCTAAATGTGTAAGCTGAGTAGCCAAGGCTTCTTTTATTAGGAGGACCACACGCATCCGTCCTGAGTCCCCCTCTCCTGTAACACACGCAGAAACACACCCGCCTTTAGCACTTAGTTCCACGCACCCTCTTCTCATTGTCTGAAATTTACAACTTCAAGGCTTTCTCAGTCAACTTTATTTCAGAGGAAGTGGAGTTATTCGGATAATCTCTTTCTTTACATCATTATCATTTCATAAGAATACAAACACTGTCACCCCTTATGTTTGTAGCAAGCATTAATAAGTATTTATAAGTCTCTAATGTGACTCTAACCATTCATCAGGCCATACATATGCCTTAAAGGATTGAATACACCATCTTCTACAAATCAGTGGAAGACTTTGAAACTTACACAAATCTTAGTGTGGTACTTCTAATGCAGTCAAGAGGCAATATGCACATACAAAAATGTAACTATAGGTTTAAGTGAGAATTATTAGGTTACAATAGTACATGTATTGAATTGTCTGGGTAGGCATGAATGGATAAAGAAAAAATGAGAATAAATAAAAATGCTGGCTATAATCAGTCTATGTGGTTTGAATGAATAGACTTAAGAAATTAGAATACTTTCAAATTATTTGTATTTCCTATATTTTAACATTATATACTGCTTTTATAGTCAGAAAAGAGTTATTAGACCAAGAAAATAGAAAATGAGAATATAAAGACCCTTTGGGTCGTGATGCTGATTTCATGCAACAACTCCTTTATTTTCTGATGTACCGTAGGTTGGGAAATACTGAACAAAAAGTTTTAGGAATATACTTTGGGTATTCTTCTATTGTAGATAGCATTTTTTTCCTTTCTTTTAAATATCTATAAAAAAGATGACTACTAATACAGGTGAAAATGTGGCTTAAAATCCTCATGACCATGGATTTGACAATGGATTCTTAGACATGACATCAAAAGCACAAGAAAGAAAAGAAAAAAATAGATAAACTGGACTTAATCAAAATTACAAACATTCATGCTTCAGAGAAAAGAAAAAAAAAATGAAAGCACAGCAGACAAAATGGGAGAAAATAGTTACAAATCTTATATCTGATAAGGGGCTTGTATTTAGAATATATAAATAACTCGTACAACTCAAAAGAACAAGACAAATAATCCAATTTAAAAATGAAAACAGGATCTAAATAGATATTTGTCTGAAGAAGATGTATGAATGGCCAATAAGCACATTGAAAGATGCTTAACATCATTAATCATTCTGTTGTTGTTTTTTAGTCGCTCAGTCATGTCTGACTCTGTGACCCCATGGACCGCAGCACGCCAGTCTTCCCTGTCCTTCACTAACTCCTGAGTTTGCTCAAACTCATGTCCATTGAGTTGGTGATGCCATCCAACCATCTCATCCTTTATTGCCCCATTCTCCTCCTGCCCTCAATCTTTCCCAGCATCAGGGTCTTTTCTAATGAGTTGGCTCTTTGCATCAGGTGACCAGAGTATTAATTAAATTGAAATAAAAATCATGAGATACTGCTTCACACAAACTGGGGTGGTGATAAAGTCAGATAATAACAGGAGTTCTTAAGGATGTGGAAAATGGAGACCCACAAACATTGCCCAAGGGAATGTAAAGCAGTGCACTCAGTTTGGAAGACAACCTGGCAGTTTCTCTGAAGGTTAAACATAGAGTTACCGTTGACTCAGCCATCCTCCTAGATATTAATAAACCCCTAGGAGAAATGAAAACATTTATCTACACAAACTTACATGTGAATGTTCCTAGAGAATTATTCATAATAGCCCAAAGGTAAAAACAACTCTTTCAAAATTGGGAAAGGAGTATATTAAGGCTATGTATTGTCGCCCTGATTTATATGCAGAGTACATCATGTAAAATGCCAGGCTGGATGAAGCACAAGCTAGAATCAAGATTTCTGGGAGAAATATCAATAACCTCAGATATGCAGCTGATAACCACCCTTATGACAGAAAGCAAAAAGGACAGTTCCATCTAGTCAAAGCTATGGTTTGTCCAGTAGTCATGTATGGATGTGAGAGTCAGACCATAAAGAAAGCTGAGCACTGAAGAACTGATGCTTTTGAACTGTGGTGTTGGAGAAGACTCATGAGAGTCCCTTGGACTGCAAGGAGATCCAACCAGTGCATCCTAAAGGAAATCAGCCCTGAATATTCATTGGAAGGACTGATGCTGAAGCTCAAACTCCAATACTTTGGCCACCTGATGCGAAGAACTGACTCATTTGAAAAGACCCTGATACTGGGAAAGATTGAAGGCGGGAGGAGAAGGGGACGACAGGATGAGATGGTTGGATGGCATCACCGACTCGATGGACGTGAGCTTGAGCAAGCTCTGGGAGTTGGTGATGGACAGGGAGGCCTGGCATGCTGCAGTCCATGGGATTGCAAAGAGTCAGACACAACTGAGTGACTGAATTGAACTGAAAAACAACCCAGATGCTCATTAATATACACAGGAACTAAACAAAAGTTACATCTAAACAATGGAATGTTATGAAGTATTATTATATAACATGAATGAACCTCATTCATGCTAAGTGTCAAAAGCCAGTCACAGAAGACTACATATCATGTGCTTCATTTATATGGCATGCCCAGAGTAGACAAATGCAGAGAGACACAAGGTAGACTCGTGGTCGCCTAGGCTTAGAACTGGGGAGGGGCTGATGAATGAAAGCTAAGGGTGATGAGAGTTCTAAAATTGATTGTGGTGATGATTGCACAACTCTGTGATTATGCCAGGAAACACTGAATTGTACATTTTAGATGGGCTAATTGTGTGGGATGTGAACTTTACCTTAATAAAGGTGTTTTCAAAAATAGTGGTCAACAATTTAAAACCAATGAGAAACACAGGAAATGTAAAAAACAAAAAATTAAGACAATATCAAAATCTATGAGGAATTTATACCAACTCAAAGATCGGTGGTGTTGAATTAAAAAAATAAGAATGTGTAAATCAAACTTGCTGTTAAAACAGCTGACCTCTAGTTTAGGAGGAAGTAGGTATTAATAGAAGTTTTATTTCTCCTCCTCAGTATTGAGGGGGAAATCTTGAACTGGGACTATTACTTAGAATTTTGAGAATAACAAAATACATATAAAAATGTTTTATTCAGAGCACAATAGGAAACAGTATTTTAAACTTGGATGCTCTCAGTTTCTGAGAATTTCTTTCTTTCTTAAACTCTTTTGTGGCGCATATTGCAAAGCAAGGCGCTTGGCCAGCAGCGATGCAGTGCTCGCTGGTAAGGTCTGCTGTGCGTGGCTCACTATTCTCTCCCACAAGGTGAAGGGGTCAAAATCGAAACATAACAGGAGTAAGACCGGAAATAGGAGAAAGCCTCTGACAGGTAATCGTCAGGCGCTGGGAGTCACAGCCACCTTTCTTGGGGAGGTGAGTAGAATTTCATTCCCCATTCCTTCCAACCTAGTCAAAGGGCTTCAGAGGGACTGTTTGGAGGCCGTGATATTTATTTTTACGCACCATGTCTGATTCACGACTGAGAGAAGTTCAGGAGGTAAAGAGAAGCCGGCAGAGGAAAAGTCAGAGGCCAAGAAGGAGAGGCTGGCGTAAAGCCGAAAGGTCCACCTGTAGGCACTCTAGTTAAGAAAAGGAGAGCCAGCAAGACGTGTTTTTTCTCACTTTTTATTGGCGTATAGTTGATTTACATTGTTGTGTTAGCTTCAGGTGTGCGGTAAAGTGACTCGGTTATACACACACATCCGCCCACTCTCCTTAGATTCTTTCCCCACACAGCTCATTGGAGGACTGAGAGAGTTCCCTGCGCGGCATAGTAGGTCCTCATTAGTTCTCTATTTTATATATAGTCGTGTGTATATGTTCCCTGGTGACTCAGGTGGTAAAGAATTTTCCTGAAATGAAGGAGGCCCAGGCTCTGTCCCTGGATTGGGAAGATCCTCTGGAGAAGGGAATGGTAATGCACTCCAGCCTTCTTGCCTGGAGAATCCCAGGGACAGAGGAGCCTGGCGGGCTATACAGTCGATGGGGTTGCAAAGAGTCGGACATGACTGAGCAACTTCACTCTGTTTCTTTCTTTCTCCTCACATAGCAATCTTTGATCCGAGAGTGATGCTAAAAAGATTAAGATGAACTGCAGGGCTATCAACAGACCCTGGGGGTCTGTTAGAAACCAGCAGTGGTTTGCAGAGTCTGCAAGAGAATAGGAAGCTCTTGGGCCCTGACAAATAGGAGTATGTGAGAAGCAGGTACAGGTTGCCTAGGGACCCAAATCCACCTCAAAACCATCTCAATCCAAACTGGATAAGGTGATGTGCAGCAGCTGGTGTTTGTAGGCTAGTTATCAGTCAGGACCAAAAATAAATTCTCTGGGGGGGAAGATGACATCATTCACAACCTTACACTGTATCTAAGGTTTCATCTTGAATGTCCTTTATTAATTTTTTAAAAGTAAAAGGTTTTTGGGAAGGAGAATAAAACAGACGATAAAACACCTCTTCAACTTCGGCTTCAAATATTCACAAGTAAACTTCAGAGAGCAACTCTGAACAAAATCCAAAATCACCCCCAACGAAAACCAGAAAACCAGATACACTGACACACAGCAGAATGGAAAGCAGCAGACCATTTCTGGATGGGACAATTCACTTGAAAGAAGGCAAAGAAGTCAGTTCTCTCAGGCAGACCCATTTTTACAGCTACAGCCTGAGAGAACTCTGCACTCAGCACTTTGCAATGCAGTGAAACCTTGGGTTTAAAAGAAAAAGCCCACAGACACTCTAGCCACAGGCACCAGTGAGGTGAGTGGGGGCAGTAATGTCCACTGAGAA